TACGTGTACGACGATAGTGCCGCGACTTACCGAGTGAGCAGTGTAGATACCAGTATCGATCACGTAAGCACAAGTTCCAGCGCCGGCACTATCGTCGTACACGTATGAAGTGCTTCCCTTAGCCCTGTGTGAGATGCGTCCTAGGCCCCAAGGGGCGCCGGTCTGCGTGACATAGGTGTTGATGGTATAAATGGCATCTTTTTCGATATATTCAACCTGCGCTAATGAGCAAAGCGACTCTCTGTAAGTTGAATATGGATGTCATACTCGGGGATCATTTTGCAGAATCTCCAATGTCGCGGCATCAAGCTTAGAGGCAAAGCCCTTAAAGGATCCGGCCTTGTAAATGTGCTCGGCAGTAGCGGAGCCAATTTTGCCGATCGTTGCCGTGAGTGCATCTTCGCTAACGCCTTCCTTCAGCTTGACGATATACTTGCTGGGAATGATAGTAGCCCCGCGAGGCTCGATAATCGGTGCCGGCTCGGCAATTGATGCTGGAGCAGCCAGTGCCAAGGGCAATAAGCTCATCAAAGAGATTACATGCATGATGAAAGCTTGGTATGGTATATCAAGGTGGAGTATATATTCTTGAAATCTTCAGAGATATTTTCAAGATCGACCAGGCGCTTTCTGTTCTTCTGATGAGATGTTTCTATATTCATTATGGGGACATCAACCTCTATTTATCTACATACTCAATCTTAACGCCAAGAAGAGGCATGTTCTACCTTCCTTGAAGGGAGTCTATACCCGGATGGATAGAAGCATGCTGCTGGACTTCTCATCACCATGCAGGCAGTGTTTTTGCACCTGATAAGGTCATCGGAAGAAAGTCACAGATCAGATAAGGCGGTCAATGTAGGCATGCGGTCTCACTGTTTCTGTACCTCCCGAACTGAGGTAAGTGTGAGGAATGAGCACCTAGCTTAAGGCCTGTCTCATTGGTGAATAGCTCTCACTAGCAAGACCTGGATGTGAAAACTGAGGTACAAGCAGCATTGATGCAAAAGGCGCCATCGCTTGAGCACATTTGATATACTCCCTGAAAGTAAAATTCGTGACACCTTACCCAGTGCTAAGCTCAAGGAACATTATCAGAATTGAGAAGGTTATGTCAAAGTGCCAAGACGTCGAGGGGTTGCATCGAGTGTGCAGACTATTGGCGCCAAGATGGTCTTGCGCAGGCTCTCACAGCCAACCAGAGGTAGACGAGGGATAACATTAGGGGGCCAGTGCTTCGACCTGCAGGCCTATCTCGATAGGCACAATGTTCCAGAACTGAATTCAGCAAAGCCAGCATAACTGCCGGCGATCTCAGTCGGCACTGCGCTGGCCCCGCTGCGGGTAACGGGAGTTCAGTGTGGGTAAAGAGCCTTGCGCAACGGCAATAGTACTAATAGTTTCTGGGCATCAGCAGGGCAAATCAGGTATAAATCCAGTCATATCCAAAGTCTTCATTGAAGAGCCCTATACTAATGAAAAGTGATTGCTGCCCATGCAGGGACTCCTGAGAAACTACTACTTTGACATCTCTGATTGCTGCAGTTGTTATCGACAATCATTTGATTTCTCCGTAGCGCAAGATCGCTTGAACGCACGTTACCCTCTGGCGTAATCATGTTAATTAAGAGATCAGCGCATGAGGTTTCAAGGACGGCACGGCGTAGCATTTGCCAAGATTCACTCACAGTCAGTTGACGTGGCCACCACAGCACCTCTGCGCCGAACCCCCAGTGCTTCCTATCTCGGCCTTCCTCATCAGGACTGGACACAGTCCCGACGCTTATCAAATCTCACTTATCACGCTTTCACGTGTACATGTAAAAGCCCTTGCCCTGCTGATGGCGACGGACGGCTTGGCAGTGAAACGAAACCTGCAGTCGCTCCTTGTAAACTTTTGCCGACAATCCTGTCTTTGGTCCTGCCAATATAGGCCCGACTTATACCGCGGAACAGTTGGGCGCCCACATCGGAAGTCCTAGATGCTGCTATTGTGCTCAGCCGCATACTTACACTAGACTGCGTGAGATGAAGAATGACAGTGCATTGACCACAGCTTACTATGCCAACATTAATCTAATCATGCATCGGACATGTTACGTCTCTAAGTAGCTAGATAGAACAGTCAGGATTCGGTTGAGGATCAGGCGTGTAACAATACTGAAGCTACGAAACAAAACGTATCGTTACACGACGGAAGGGCCAATCCATGACTGAGCAATGGGGAAGGAGTTGTTCGCCAGCACACCCTCGATGCTGCCTCGCGAACTCATGTGCAGCATGTACGGCTGCTCCCGCCCCTCTTTCAAGACTTCCAGAAGTCTCGAGACGGGCAAATGAACATTCTTACGAGACCATCAAGGTGCGCTCATACAACCTTACGGTCTCAATATCATTGTCCTAGAAGGCATACCTTCCAGACTCGGCACGAACTGTTACCGCATGCCCAGACAAACATGTCACACCATGTCTTTTGACCTGCTCTTTGCCATACTTGCAGTTTTAAGTTAGCTTGGCACATCAAGGCAAGCTTCCTCACTTCAAATGGCTTCCAGATCCGGAATTTGGTTGGTAGCGCTCTATGCAATGTCTGGACCTGCCTAAAGTCGAGATAGAATGGCTGTAGACCTGACGTCATGTTGTAGCCTGCATCTCGCCGCGGCGATTGGGGCATTCTCATTTCCGAATTTGACCCGAGATATACAAGGTCGATGAGGGAAAGTCTGAGAGGGAGCATGACTTTCAACGTGAAAATTCGGTACTTCCGCTTGTGCAAGAGCAACATCATTCATTCCAGGATCTAATTACAAGCAAAGACAACGGCTTGCTCGATTTGAAGGTATAAAGATGGTCTTGTATCGTATTGCCAGCGTACGAAGTCCTATATTGGGTGCTATGCGAGAACTAGGAGTTGTGCAAACTTCAACCTTACAAATTAATGTTACATCCGAATAATATACATTATAGCTTGCAATTATACGTTTGAGACAAGAGATCCAAGATATGCGAGTCTCGCGTTTGGGGCAACTGCTGTATGGTATTTGCTCTAGAGCGTTTCTTTGTTGAACTGTGAATAGGTAGATCAAAAGCGAGACACTTGGAGCAAGTCTCAGCAAGATTATTACTTGTGGAAAGGTTCTAGCCCGCACTGCGCTATATGTCACGTAAAGACTATTCGAAAGAATATGTGGACACTACATCATCGAATCACACTCGCCACTTGGTTACCTTCACTGTAGTTTTATTTTTTTAACCCGCTCTTGCAACCTCAAATCATAGCAGGCCTAGATATAATCAAGAAAGGTTTTCTAGACTACATTGTCATTATTCTATTATTTATTATGTATCATCTATTCATAACAACATGTATCTTTTGCGCGTTCTATGCGACTGCTGTCATTTCATAAGGCTTGACAGGAACAGTTACCGGCGCACACTTGACCTCTCTGTCCGAGTAGATCTGGCCAATTGTCCAATTGGGGTTCTGCCACGTTGTGTCGGTACATTCGAGGGTCAGGTTGACAGTACCAGCTGCGTGGAAGGTAATACTGAGAAAAAATTAGCATTCATGCTGTGTTTCGTGATTCTGAGGATGAAACTCACGGGTACTGCGGATCCGGATCATCACATGTCCACGTCTGATTGATATCAAGCTTTCCAGAGGGTCTGCTGAAGGCGAAGGTGGCTTCGCCACCGTACGGTGCCTCTTCTGGCAGTGTGCAATTGTACCACATTGTGCCGTAGAAGAAGTCTGATAACTGATTACTCGTTGCGCTACACGAAGCCAGATATGGGAATGCGGGGTTTGAGAGGTTGAAGTTCACATATCCCCATGAGTTTTGGTGAGCAGGGGTGGTGAAGATGTATGACGCATGGTAGTCGAAGTCCTCGACCGTCCACTCGAGACCTTTGAAGGATACATCGGAGCAGCTACCATCTTCCCGAGTGTTCAGGAAGATGGGACTGGCGGTTGCTAGAGAGGCAGCTGCAATTAGACCTGAGAGAATTGCGTACATTGTGTCGAGTTTTCAGAAGTTGGCGATTGCTTTGATATGCGTCTAGCTGAGGCTCTGCAGGGAAGATCATGCAAGATGTGCAGGGACGGCGGAGATCTTCTGCGGATGATTGACCGACTTAAATGGCTGGGTCAAGGGCGGATGAATGGTAAGTTGAGTGATGTTTGTGTGTTCTGATTTGAACGGCTGGTGAGGTGGTTAAATATACCTTCCATTCCGGAGACATAAAGCCCAACCTCTCCATGGCGCGCCTCGCTAACGAAAACTTCTGTCCACGGGCACAAGCAGGCATCGTCACGAAGCGTCCGAACAGAAAGCTTGGGGATTGGAATGGCAAGAATGGGTTTGCCCCACGCGAATGGTCAGGAAGCCAACGAATCCCGCCAGCGCGAGGCCTCATAGGGCAGTGATATGACGTTGGCCGGCGATCACAAAGTGCCAAGGCCTCGTATTCCTCTGTTAGCTATGACGGCTTAACGTCACTTCAGACCTTGAAAAGACCCTGGCACAACTCACCAGGTGCCGAACAGCGGGGTTTCAGCCTGTACTGTACACACGGCAAATGTGCCGTAGCTGCGGTCTGCTGGCGTACCGTTAGCCCTATATCGAGCTGATCGTGCGCAACGCGATCTATTTTTGTTCTGCATGTATTCTGTGTCGCCTCGGCTGAACCGAGCAGCCGTGCCGTTGCCGACTGGGCGACTCTGCTTACACACTCGGCCCAAGTTCGCCTGAGATGCAGGAACAGTGCAGCAGACACCGCCCCTTTCTTCAGTGCTTCTTTGCGCCGAAGTCTCACAACAGCGACAATATTCCTTCCAGAATATCTCGTATCCGACACGAGCCAGAACCTTGGGACTGATCGACGAGGGCATGCGCGACTACTGATCGTAACGTGACAATCGATTGCGCGGCGACTCTGGCTCCGCCTGTTGTGCGTTGTGCGATGGTTGGGATTCCAGGTCCAGCCACCAGTAAAATATCGCCAAGCACGCGCAGAATGTCGGGCCTGTCGGACGCCATGTAAACAATACCGGGCAATACGCATAGCCTTCGACGTGCGAATACAAGTTACGAGAAGGATTGAAACCCTTGATGCTTAGCATGAGAAGGCAAAGTGTCGGCGAAATATGAGAATTAAACAATGGAGCGCACAGCATGGTCTGAGTACAAACAGATGCAGCACAGGACGAGATCTCGTGTCAGAATCCCTAATTGGACATAACCATCATGTTAAGACAATTGATGCTGCAGTGCAACAGCTCATTCGACGAGACATGCCATGCACAAATTGCCTCAGGAAAAGCACTCGTCGCCCGAATGTTGCCCAAATGCACTTTCGGTCTCTGGTCACGACGGCTTTCTCGCATTCGCAATGGCGTACCGGTTCTCAAGACGAAATCCTTCTTCATACCCTCTGAGCACTCTTTCCAGCGCGTCTCGTAATGTCGTCTCGTTGCCAGGAAATGCGTCCACAACTGGTCGCAGGCCAGGGTTGCGCATATTGACCCAAAAGTTGATGATGCTTTCCGGGCTCGGGGCGCGATTCTCAGTCACGACTTCATATGCGTCAACGTTCGTGAATCCTGCTTTCTTCAAACCCTCATCGAGTTGTTTCGATGTATGCCAAGTATGATCAAATGGCTCCACCCTCGAGTAATTGGGGTCAACGAGCTTCCGGGCATTGTGCATCGGTTCAACGATGCCTAGGTAATCTGACACCGAAATAGCGACCACCCCGCCGGGCTGTAGCGAGCGAAATATTTCTGACAGCACCTCCGCTTGTCTGTCACCGACAAACTGAAGGACCAAAGCGCAAAACGCATGCGTGAATGTATCCTCTGGCACTAATATGCGGTCAAGACTCCTCGCATCTGAAACTCCCGTTACAATATTGGCGATATTCCTTTGTGCTAGAATGTCCACCATTCCTGGAGAGCTGTCAATCGCAACGATCGAGACACTCGGGTGCAACTCCCTGATTGCCAAAGGAATATTGCCAGCTCCGGTGCCTACATCCAGCACCTTTGAATCTTGTGACAATGGTCTTTGGCTAAGAGCTGCTGCGACCAGCTCATGCGCTCCTTTCAATGCGCGGGCGCCAATGTCTGAATCATATTCTCGGGAGGCCTCATCCCAGAGGTCCGGACTAGATTTGATGGATGGATGCATTTTCCGACTGAAGAAAAATGCCTTCTCAGATGAATCTTGCCCTTCCTCAAACATGTAACTTGCGCGCCCTTCAAAGCATATATACCTGGGGCCGCAGGGGCGCTGACATCAGCTCCAAGACCTCATCTCAAGACACGCAGAGCATGCTCGTACCCTCAGTAAAGAAGCGATAGCATTGGCCAGCTGTGAACATGATCACGCATGAGAGTGAGGCTGATTCCGGAGTTTGCAATGGCCAGCATTTTGATCCCGAGATTCCGATGCATCGTCGTAGGGATGAGAATTTTGGCTCTCACTTGAGTTGATCTGGTACAGTACAGAACAGCCCACGCTGGTAAACCCACTGGTTCAAGCAATCGACAGCTGGAGGGTGGTGATTAGCGTTGTTTGCGTGTTTTAGCGGCGGGAGTGCCCGAGCCCTACAGTAAGTTATCCACAGTAACCTAGTATTGTTGCTCATCAGCTGTTGAAGTCATCGCAATTATCGGTTCAAAGTGAGTCGCAAACTCGAGTATCTCGACGAGGAGGCTGCCCAATCTCACAATATGGTTCTGTTGCTAGCCAATCACTTGTATTACAAGTGCATGGATTTCACTTGCCAGGCGTCTTTGGCTGCCAGAATGTCGGCTGCGTGGTGATCCGTTGTGTAACAGCGCATTGCAAGCGGCTTATTCGTGGTTCCGAGACTAAACTATTCCCTTATTACAAAGAATTCCATGATTTCTCGATTGGAAGTCTCAAGTTCTTATCCGGCACGAATGGCCTGTGGGTGACCCTGTAGTCTCAAGTGTACATAAGATGTTCCTATGACATTTGGTGCCGATTCCAGCATGTCATCTTTCATGTCACCGTGCATATCGTCTGAAGAAGGGTACACCTTTGGGTGTGATCACCTCTAGGACTGACTGCAAGCCAGAATCACCCATGAATTCAACTACTTCGAATTGAACAAGAAGCTTTGCCTCTGTTGTACGACTGAGTAGGAATAAGAAAATGAGCAATGCTGTAATCGTATATAGAGAGGGAATTGAAAGAAGGTTACCTGTTGAAGCAGTTTGTTCTATTAGTTGAAAGCTTGAGCAGTCAAGGTCACAAGTTTGTTGAATGATACTGGAAGTTCAAATAATTGCCCTCCGTAAGTTGCAGTCTTGCAACCCATTTCACTCGCGAATGTATCACATATCTTATGGGTGGGCAATCCGAAAGTCTGACCGAGTCGCCCGAGAATATAAATGATTGAAGAAGTCGAGTTGCGTTCTATAAACGACTGAATTCGCTTCCTCTTTCTTGGTGACTGCTGGTATGTCTTTGGATCCTACCCCAAAGTTTTACAACCATTCCAGGTCAACGTTATTGCATAAACCCCCACGTGTTTGACATAATTCTCTATTGGTCGAGGTTCGGATTATTCTATGCAGAAAGCTGAAAAAAGAAGAAGTGAGTAATCCGACCAGCTCTATTGGAGGAGATACCGCGAACTAAACAGCGGGCCTGCGCTTGCTGCGGAGCCTGGACTCGGCCGCGAGAATTGATGCCTGACTGGGCTACAGAAGAGGAATCGCATTTCACATCTGGTGTCGATTGTATGATACCATCTCACCGCCAAACTGTACAGGGGAATGCGGCTTGCCTTGCGTCTTGACGCGTACGAATAACCAGTAAGATGGCCGGTGCTACTCAGACTAGCGAGGAGCTATGGACCTTTGTCTCAGCTATTCTTCATAACGAGCCCCGGAGACTCGTTTTGCACCTGAAGATCATTGACTCTGTCTTCATCAACGCCATAGTTGAACCAGAGAGATATGGGCCTGAAAGTTTCGAGAGCCGTTTAATCAATTCGTACGCCAAAGACGGTAAGGTCGCTAAGGGGAGTTGGACCAATCTTGCAATTGACAAGATCCTGACTCTGTGTTGGAGAAAGTACGGAACACATGCTCCGCGATTTGCTGCAAACATTCGCGTGTGGTCGTCTCGTCTTGGATTGCATGTCGCCGAAGAAGTGGACTATCTCCTCCTAAGGGCGTTGGAGCCAGCTTCAGCCATATTTGGGGATATGCCCATCCCGCAATTAGTCCCATCAACACGTTTGCAAACGGTCGTGAAGGCAGGATCTTTCTTCTTACCGAATACACGACATGTAGCACATAATGGCCGCGAGTATGTTGCCAAGGGGCCGATCTACCCCACACGGGTCGGCTACGACTACCAGGAAATTCGCAATCTACTCGCTATTCCGGGACGTCACCCCAGCATTATCCCGCCACCGTCAGCGCTTATCACTGTCTCCGAGACAGACCATCGGATATGTGGATTTTTGATGCAATATTATTGCAATGGCAACCTCGATACGTACGCTCAAACGCTGCACAAGAGAGGAGACCTGACTGCCAAGCTTCTGTCAAAGTGGTTTAAACAACTCGTTGCCGCGGTCAGGTTTTTGGAAAGCAATAGAAATTGGCACGGCGATATCAAACCTGACAATCTTCTTGTCGATGAGGATGAGAACATTGTTTTGACAGATTTTGCGCAAGCCTTTGCTACATCTGCCACGGCAAGTCCTGAGGTTCAAATCTACCTAAAGGATCATGCCGCACGGACAGATGTAACTGCAGTTGGAATCCCCCAGAACTGGGAACTGGATCGCGTAGTGGCCTCCGAAGTGTACTCAATTGGTCGGACCATGTACCTCGTCTCGGAAGGGGTGTCTATGCTCGAGATATACAGGACATGTGGCTGGGTAAACCACGACCATCTTTTCTCAAATCAGCTCACAACTACGACTCCTGAGACGCTCCAGAAGGTTATTTTTCAGTGCCTCATCACTAACCCCTCTAAGAGGATCTCTCTAGAAGAGCTATGGAAAGTTGTTTGCGACTTGGAGAGCAGCACAGATTCTTGAGGCTTTCGGCTTCTGAGATGGGAGACTATACGCCAGCGTCCACACAACCATTCTGATTATGAACTGAAACACTTGGGCAAAATCTCACATCTCCCACATAGCTACTTGTTGCACACATCGCACTGCAGAATTCACAATTACCACAAGTCTCATCTCAGTAAACTTACATCTTTAGAGTATACCCACCTCCAGGGCTAATGCTGACCTACCTTTATTTCTAAGCGCCCATCCATTTTTTGCGGAGGTCTCCCCAGAGAACGACATATTGTTCACTCCACTTTGCCTGAACTAGAGTAATACCACTTGATACCTTTTGGTCTAGTAAAGTATGGTCAAGAAGTACCTCATGGTGGCCGATCCACAGCTCGGATGACCAACTCGCACTAAATAGACTTCGGAACGGAAAGTTGCCCACTAATTCTTCGGCAGCGAATCCACGGCCTAGCCGACACTCCCCGTCATTTTAGCGCCTTTGCTCGTCCTCCGACTCCCCTCCGCCCTTCCCCTCTAACTTACACGCCTCGTAGCCTTTCGATACCAATAGACGCGCCGTTTTCAGTCTGCGAAAAGCTGAATATCTTCACAAAGATCCTACATAGAAGCCCTGCATCGTATGCAGCATTTTCAGGATGACCACAAAAGTCGATATCGATTCAATCCTCAAATCGCTGACTTTGGAGGAGAAGGTTAGCAGCAGAGTGTGCCCCGGATTCTGTTTTCTTAACTGACTCAATGCTGTTCATGTTAGATATCTTTACTTGCTGGTGAGACATTTTGGGAAACCGTCGCAATACCCGACAAGAATGTTCCAAGCATAAAGGTCTGCTCAATTTTCTCGCCTGTTAATGCAAAACTTCGTAGGAGACTAATCGCTCGCAGACAACTGATGGCCCAAATGGAGTACGTGGTGCTGATTTCGAGGGCAACACGAGGGCTGCCTGTTTTCCAGCAGCCTGCAGTGTAGCCGCAACCTTTGACCCCGAGATTGCGAGACAAGTCGGACAAGCACTGGCTGAGGAAGCTCGCAGCAAAGGTGCCAGTTGCCTTCTTGCGCCCACGACATGTATTCACCGTCACCCTCTTGGCGGACGCAACTTTGAGAGCTTTAGCGAAGATCCATTGTTGTCCGGGAGGCTTGCATCTCAAGTGATTCAAGGCGTGCAAAGCATGGGTGTAGCAGCAACTATCAAGCACTTCGTCGCCAACGAGCAGGAGACTGCGAGAATGTCCGTTGACGAAACTATCAGTGAGCGTGCACTTCGCGAAATCTATCTCCGCCCGTTTGAGATAGCCGTTAAGGAAGCCAAGCCTTGGGCACTCATGACCGCCTATAATAAAGTGAATGGCACACACTGCGATTCTCATGAGTGGCTATTAGCAGAGGTCTTGCGTGGAGAATGGGGCTGGAAGGGCCTCGTGATGAGTGACTGGGGCGGCACAAACTCCCTTGCAGGGGGCCTCAAAGCAGGTCTTGATTTGGAGATGCCCGGTCCACCTCGGGTGCGTAAAGTCGATGCAGTTCTTGAGGCAATCAAAGCAGGTGAGGTCTCTGAATCGGTGATCGACGACAGAGCGCGGGGTGTCCTAGAATTTCTGGAAAAGCTCAACGCTTTCGGCAAGACAGCGTCGACGACTGAGCGTGCGATTGATAAGCCTGAGCATCGAAAGCTCATTCGAGATGCTGGCTCCAGGGGTATCGTGCTGCTCAAGAACGAGGGCGCGATCCTGCCGCTCACAAAGGATAAAGTCAATGGCAAAAAGATCGCGCTGGTAGGACTTGCAAAAGACGCGCTGGCTCATGGTGGCGGTAGCGCGGGCGTGAATGCGCACTACAAGGTGACTCCCTGGGATGCATTGAATTCTGCCCTTGGCGACAGTGTTGAATTCACTTACGCAAAGGGCGTGGATAAGGCACGCCTACTCCCTCCGATCAGCAAGGATGGAACTTCCGGGTCGGTCATTGGTCTAGATGGGGAAAATGGGTTCACACGCATATTGTATGATGTGAACTCCCCCGATACACCAGATTCCACCCTGCACGGCTTTGCACTCTCGGCTTACTCCCCGCTTGGATCACAGGAATCGCTATGGAAAATATTAGAAATTGTCGGAGACTTTACTCCAGCCGAGACGGGAAATCACTATATAGCATGCTCTGGAATAGGTTCGACACAAGTCTTCATCAATGACGACAAAATTTTCGAGCAGGAGGGAAATTGCACAGATCCGATGGGAGCTCTCTTTGGAGCCATGACGGAAGAGGAGTTCACATATGCTTTCACAGCCGGCACCACATATCGAATCCGGATTCGCACTATCCCACCAACTAATGTCGGCTCGAAAATTCTAGAAGGCAGGAGCGGTGTTCGAATGGGGTTTTCGCTTGCATCAATCCATGATGCAGACCTCGAAGGCGAGGCAGTTCGTGTGGCCAAGGATGCAGACTTGGCCATTGTATTTACTGGCCATGACCCCCAGTGGGAAACCGAAGGGCGCGACCAAGACTCATTCCATCTACCACGACAAGGAAGTCAAGATAGTCTTATCACAGCAGTCGCGAAAGCCAACCGAAACACTATCGTGGTCAACTCTACCGGCGTTGCTGTTGCCATGCCCTGGCTTGAAGAGGTGCCAGCACTGTTGCAAACTTGGTTCCCGGGGCAAGAGTGCGGCAATGCCATTGCCGATGTTCTAACAGGAGCACTGAATCCGGAGGGACATCTCCCGGTTACTTTCCCCAAGCGTCTCGAGGATGCACCAGCATACGGAAATTTCCCTGGAGATTACGTTCAAGGGCAGCTGAAAGTACAATACGCGGAAGGTGTGTTCATTGGATACCGCCATTACGACCGCCTTACAAGGGATAAAGTGAATTTCCCATTTGGTTATGGCCTTTCATACACAGACTTCGAGGTTGAGGGAGCGAAGATCACCGAACATTCGAAAGACGGCTATACAGTTGCAGCAACAATTCAAAACACTGGCAGACAACCAGGCGGTATGGTCCTCCAAGTCTACGCTGGCAAAACTGATACTTCAGTTGATCATCCCCTCAAGGTGCTTGTTGCTTTCCAGAAAGTCAGATTATCTCCTGGGGAGAGACAGGTTGTGCAGCTGCCTGTCAGGCTTCGGGATCTTGCTTACTTTGACGAAAAGTCACATGGTTGGACTGCCGAAGCTGGTCAATACAAGCTTTACTTTGGAACATCGGCCGCGGACATTCTCCAGACTATCCCTATCACAATCGACGAGCGGCTGTCTTTTGGCTTGTAGATTGATTCAGTCTTGGTATATTACTCAATCAAGGCTTCTGCCTTAAGTCGTAAACAAAATCTCAAAAAAGACAAGACACTTACTTGCTGTATGCTATTCCTCCCAAGCAGCGTCTGCAAATAGGGGCTGCAAGATAGTATGATAGGGAACAAGCTGTGTAAATGAACTATGATCCACAAAAATAGTAAACTGGTGTAATGCAGTGATGTAATGGCTACCTGTCAGCATCATGGCGGGTTTCCGGGGCTCCGCTCCCGAGCCCAAGAGCAGATACAACAGAGATACATAGGTACACAATATACTTTCTATACTTACCTTCAAACAAGTCAGAGAGCACAATTTAAGTCTTGGTCCACATCTTGTTCAACGATGATGCCCTCGCCTTACCAAGGGGCGTGCTTATGCGCAAATGTGACGCTGACAATCAGCTCAGAGCCGATAGCGGTTTTTTCCTGTTTTTGCGAACATTGCAGCAAAGGAGCTGGTGGACCAAACCAAGTTGTAAGGACTGGAATTTCATGAAACTATTGCATTGATCCATTCTCATCTCAATCATAGATCGCCAAGTTCGCCAGCAAGGACGTCGTCATCTCAGCGAAAGCGAACTCGCTGTCCGAGTTCACACTCAATGACACATCAAGTGGTCTACCTAAACAGAAATCATTCTGTCGGACTTGTGGAGTCACCCTGTGGACAATCCCCGCAAATGCAGCGGGCTCATACATGTTGATCAGGACCAGTCTCCTCAAACAAGGGTACCATCAAATTCACTTCTGGTTTGACTGGCGTCAAAGCGAATACAGAACGTCACCTTGGATATCGATGACTAACTCATGTTTTAAAGTAGACTTGAAGAGCTAAAGCCGACCTCCGAGATATTCGTCAAGAATAGGCCAAATTGGATGGGATCTCTGGAAGGAGCATCTCAATGGGAGGAAACACGAAATACGTGAGGTAGCACGTCGTCTAACATACTTCGGACATAAAGTGGAGTTTTTGGCGTTTGTTTGTTTTACGTCCCATCTGATAGGCCAAAAATTACCCCATACTTCGGAAGCGAGTCATGTCTCGGAATATGCTAGCCTAGTGGAGGGAGGTTCGGAACGCATCATCTCGAGGTTTTCGGAAGAGAGGTTGTAACCCTGGCTTCAATATCTTCGCGGTTCTCAATTGGCCATCAAGCCGAAGTTGTGTCTATCACCTATCTCCGAGTTATCTCGGTACCGGCTCAGTGCGGTCTACCGAGTTGCTCCGATCCGGCAAAGCCGCGAGCCAGTCCGGAGCGGGGACAGAACGCACGTCCGAGTTGGCTGGTCGGTGGCTGGGCATGTCGGAGCCGAACGCACCTGCTGCCGTTCGGGAGCATCGACGGAAGCGCATCAAGATAGACGTAGCATGCGATACATGCCGCGCGAGGAAGGTCAAATGTGATGGGGCGCGACCAGGTATGTTGGCACTTCGCACCTAACCTCTGGCTTCTCGCAACATCGTGGTCGAACAACTGCAGAAGCTGGTTTATGTAATCTATAATAACTTCGCTACAGTATGTGGCAACTGTCTTAAGAAACCTACGACAAGAGATACTTGCAAATATGGTCAGAATGGGCTTGAAAAGACCACGAAACGGCTAGAAGGACCAATTATATCGAGTCGTGGTCCACCTCTGCGTGTTACACACGACAGGGACCGTGGGTCTCCACTGACAAGAACGGAGAACGATTCTCAACAGAGGTTACTGTTGCCGAGATTGACTTCCTCTCAGGCCCGTTCTGTCACATCTCCTCGAATCATTGCAGAAAGTGAGCTGGCGGTGAATAACGCAAGTCCGACCGCGGATAGGGATGCTGCACCCTCCGTAATTGACTCCATGACTGCAGTAATTGAAGAGGGCATCAATACCGACCAATACTTCGGTAGTAGTAGTGCCGGCTCCTTCACTAAGCAAATTAAGGCTGCCATCGATGCTCGGTTAGGGAGATCACGTAGCCCAAAAGTTTCGTACATGAACACTATCACTACATCACCCAACAGCTCCTTTCCGAAGACGATCAGAGTCTCGGAAAGCCCTGATTATGTGTTACCTCCTCGAAGACAAGCAGACAATCTCATGGACGTGTATTGGTTTTACGTGGATCCTTTATATCCTTTTCTCGACCGAGACCAATGGGATAAGTCCTATCACGACTTATTCTCGGGAGCTTCTATCGGTGCTGATGAGCGTGTGTTCGTGACTACACTAAACATCATCCTCGCACTGTCGACTCAGCTCTTGGAGTCTCTAAGGCCGGAGAAAAGGGATGAGTCAAGCAATTCGTACTTCCAAAGGGCTCAAGAGCTTCTACACTTAAGCATTTGGGCGAGCGGATCTACGGAATTGGTGCAATGTCTCTTGCTGATGAGTCAGTACCTCCAAAGTACCAACAATCCACACCAAACATGGATGGTGGTTGGTTCCGCGATTAGAACTGCGCAAAGCCTAGGCCTGCATCTTCCTGAAACGTCTGCAAATGCTCCCAGTCCTCAGAAGCGAGAACTTCTCAGGAGGCTTTGGCACGGATGTGTTCTGATGGATCGGTAAGTTTCCTTACCCACATGCATAATGTTTTCAATTTCTGACTCTCAAAAGTATGGTGTCTGTTACCCATGGACGACCATCAATGATAACAAACCGCGTTGCCCTAGCCGTCCCTCTGCCATTTTATTTACCTGATCCAGTACAGGATTCCGATTGGGTTGGCAATAATAGCCTGGCTAAAACTGCATTTTTCGTCAAGTCTGTGGAATTATATGAAATCATTCATCTTACCCTCCTAGCCTTCTATTCTTCGAACAATACTCGTTTACTTGACAAGCACTACGATGACGATGTCAATACGATGAGTGATGAGAATAGCTTAGACTCAGTCATGAGGCTTGATGATTCACTTGTAGACTGGGAGCTCACTCTGCCTAGCTATCTGAAGTTTGGGGCCTTCAGCGAGGGTAGAAACGAGGTAAATCAGCGCCAAGTCGTGATACTACACATTCGGTATATTGCCCCCTGATTTTGAATATCGCTCGAGCTCACATGGATGTCTGTTTAGATTTCTTCAAGCCCGTATTCTTCTGTTAAGGCCAACACTTTTCAAATTCTGTCTGGAGCATGAGCCTCCAGGATTGTCGCAACTTCCCGAAAGACTTAGAGATCGCATTGCACAGCAGTGTGCTTCACTTTGTGCGACTGTTGCACAGAGTATGATTTCCGTCCTGGCAACCTTCCAGCGGCAGGACGGAACGGTCGGCCTGCTCCCTGCCTGGTGGTATAGGGTTTACTACGTCTATTCTGCAGCAACTATTCTCATTGTGGCCAAACTCAGGCCGGATGTGTTCCCTTTGGCCGATATCAACAAATCCTTGGGGGAAGCCATGACAGTGCTAGAAGCACACGAGCAATTCGGTCAATCTCCACGTCGCTGTCTCGCGGCGTTGAACATCCTATCATCTCAGATACTCCAGGGCGTGCAAGGGAGTGGCGCTCAAAGGGTGTCAGGATCAACAATGGCTGATGGATTGCAACCAAATGCAGACACAACGCAGCCAGTTCCTCAACCCTTCGAGGATTTTACGATGTTCCCAGATCTGAATCTCCCAGGCCTTACATTTGATGCTAACGACCTTTCGTTTCTAAATATGCATGCATGGGAGCTTCTCAACGAGCCATGATGAATGGTAACTTATGTACTCTATTATAATATATAGTACAACTACTGGAGCTTTTTTTTGTTTTTTGAAACAAGGCTAGGACCGAGTCTTATCTCATTCAAAAGCCATTTTGTTTTTGATACTGCCAAGACTGCTTATCTTTACCTCAACTACATCGCCGTCATTGAGATACTTCGGCTCCTTCATGCCCATCGCGACACCTGACGGCGTGCCTGTCAAAATCACAGATCCTGCTTCAAGTGTAGTGCCCTGACTACAAAAACTGACAATTTCCTTAACACCGAAAAGCAAGTCGCCCGTGGATGTGTTTTGTCGCTCTTCACCATTCACGAATGTTTGTAGAAGCAAATCATCGGCCGCTCCAACTACTTGAGGTGAGACCAACATCGGACTTAGAGGCGCAAATTTGTCGAAGCCCTTGGCGAAGCACCACTGCGGTACGCCCCCTGCTTTCTTTGGATCCCGCTGCCAGGCTCGAGCGGACACGTCATTTCCTACACAATAGCCGGCCACGTAGCTTAGGGCATCCTCCTTTGAGACATTCTTGGCGGGTTTGCCGATGATCAACGCCTATGTTTACGGTGAGTCTCATGCAATGAATGATCGCAGAGGGAGAGTTCCATACCAGCTCGCCTTCATAGTCCAAGGTCCCGTCCTGCGCGATCTTTGGGATCGGAACATCTTCACGATAGCCGGCCACCGAAGTCGATGGCTTGATAAACACCGACGGGTAAGGAGGCGGTGTCCGCCCGCCCTCCTGAACTTTAAGGTCATGTTAGTCAAATACTTGAATATCATTTCAAACTAGAAAGATGAGCAGCTTACTGTGCTTGACGTAGTTGAGACCAATACATCTGACGATCGGCACGTCGGATGGCTTTACAAGGTCTCGTAGAGCTTTCACGTGCACCTTATCCCCTCGTTCAACGATGGACACCGGACTGTCGCCCTTCAACTCAATAGCCCAAAGCTTATTTTGAGATAGAAGCTCATCAAGTTCGCGTTCATTTTCTATGCAGGGCTCCCCAAACTTCTCTTTATCATCATCGTCGACAAAGCGGATGAGGCGTGTCCAAGACATGATGATGCACGTGGATTATGGATTGTAGTCAAATACCTAGAGTGACTTGTGTATGTTTAATCAGAACTACAGCAATAATAAAGTTGATTTGCTTATAGTAAATGCAGTTCAGTCTGCCGGGGTATAGTGGTTGGCGTTTGGTGTACCACAAATTCGGAAGCATCCCAGGCTGACCAATGAGAGGTCGTTCCGAAGACCGTTCCGAGAAATCGGGATGCCCAGCGCAGGTCGCTATGCTATGGGCTGATGATCCTCAGCAACCCCCAAAGCTAATTAATGCAGTCTCTAAGTAAATACATCATTGGGCTATAGTGGTATGATCACGGTGGCGGACACCTTCCCCGCAATCTCAAGAATAAAACCAGGCACGACAACCGAGCTACGTCGTTGAAGATATAGAAACTAACAATCGATTTGGGGACATCGCTTGAACCCCCTTCGACTTCATAGATAATATTTTCAGAATGGGTTCTCTCCCCGTACCCGATCGCGAACAAGGCGCGATGGATGAGCTTCTTGATAATCTTCCATCACAACACTTGGAGCCTCTGTGGTCGAAAATGGATGTCATGGTCCCGGCACTCCCGAACCCAATTGCAAAGCCACACATGTGGAAGTACAATGAAGCACTGCCTCATCTCAAGAAAGCTGGAGAGCTTGTTCCTGCCGAGAAAGCTGAGAGGAGGGTATTAATGCTTGTCAACCCGACAATGAGTAGGTACTTCTTCTAAGAAATGAGATGCCAAGGAAATTCTTATGGCTATTTGCTTGGACCGTCTTTACGGGAATGAGCTGAACTAACCATGAAACAGAAGCACCTCATACAACTGACACAATATACGCGGGACTTCAGCTAGTCAATCCCGGGGAGACTGCACCAGCGCACCGGCATATTGCTTACGCTGCGCGGTTCATCATCGAGGGCAATGGATTTACCGCAGTTGAAGGAAAGAAGATGCCGCTGCAGCGAGGAGACGTAGTAGTCACGCCAACCTGGCATTGGCACGACCACGGCAACGAGAGCTCGTCGCCCGTTATCTGGCTAGATGTCCTTAATCTGCCGCTTTTCACATATGCCCCGGTGCACTTCGCCGAGGGGTACAGCGAAAGTCGATACCCTAGCAAGTGAGTCATCTCTAAAAAGCTTCGCAGATATTGAAACAGCTTATAACAGTATGTAGACTTTGTGATTCGACAGAGTGGCGACAACCTTGGGCACCAGTGGAAGCCGAGCTGAATGAAAAGGGCACTCCTCATGCAGTCTACCACTACACGCTCAAAGATGGCCGGCCGCTGTCAACCACACTAACAATGCAAGCAGAGCGTATCGACGCTGGTTATACTACAGAGCCAGTTCAGGAGAGTGCTTCATTTATTTATCACTGTTATGAAGGCAAGGGCCGTACGATCATATCCCCGCCTTCAGGCAAAGATTACACTTTCAGCTGGACGACCAAGGACACATTTGCCGTGCCGGCGTGGTCGAAGATCCAGCATATCAATGACTCAGAAACTCCAGCGTATCTTGTCGCTGCCAGTGATCGACCATTTTTGGACTCGCTTGGTCTGAGGCGACCTACATCTTGAGTTGTGGGAGTTCGAGTTCAAGGTGAACGATGGCATATAATGTTTGCGATATTTTGATACACAATATGATAGGATTAGCCTGTAACAATTGAAGTCACCTCCGTTTGATGTGTTCATTCTATTTCACTCGCAATGGCATACATTATCGGGATCAAGGGAATCCCTGTTCGATGAAGCGTAAGCTTAAACCGTCGGATATCTGGGCGCTCTGTTCAGGGCAATGAGTACGTTATCAATTGACATTATCGAACTAGTGATGATAAACTCTCACTATCAAGCGATGAATGCAACATGTTGTCATTATTTGACGTACTGAGCATGGGTAGGTCCCATCGAAGCGGCCGCAAACATCCTCGTGCTTTGTACAGCGTCCATCATGACAGGCCCTTGAAGAATTATCGACCCGTATATGGATCTTCTACGCAATGCGATACGTCGCTTCTAAGCACTAAAGTCGATTTGAATGATTGGCAAGCCTGAGAGACTGAAATACTTGAGTTGATTTGTTCGTGCAGCTACGAGGTGAAAGATGGCATATTGAGTGCTGACAAAGATCGACGTCGGCCGATCGCCTCGCACCCCCTTCAGGATCACCCGAGGAAGTCGGAGGTGAGACTTGGTATAGGTATATAGCTTTACTTCGCTCTCGCCCACCAACTGTCCAAAACCCGACATCAGCAAACTCCGAAACACAAAGCTGACATACAAAGACCGTTGTACCACCAGCATGGCTCCGCGTACTCGTGAAGAGCTTCTCTCAAGCGGGGTGATGGACCCCAAGTTCAGTGAGGTCGATTGACACTTCAAATTTCCTGGCAGCGGATGCCTCGGCTCACAGGAAGAACAGGAAATCACAAAACACCCGCTGCGTGATCCGCAGCCTTCAGACCCATACTATGGGAGAGATGATTTCTTCGCCGTCCGGGACCATCGCGCTGCCCGGCTCAGGGAGCGGCATCATCTGCGATACGTTCCCGGGCCAATTCCAGAGGACGTACGTGAAGAAGATAGGAAGATCACGGTCCGAGATGGTGCGGAGATCACCGTGCGGATTTATACGCCCGTCCGGACCCCAGCTGGCGGGAGCCCGTTGATTGTCCTGTATCACGAGGGCGGGTGGGCGATGGGCGACCTGACGGACGAGGAGGTGAATGCTAGATTGTTTAGTCGTGAGCTAGGGGCTGTATGCGTCAATGTCGACTATAGGTATGTGATTATGGTAAAATAGCTGATATATTGCTGATGAGCCTAGGCTCTACCCTGAGAACCAGTGGCCAACACATATCAATGACTCCTGGGATGCACTCCAATGGGCAAGTGCTAATTCATGCCGATTTTCTAGGTATGCTAGACTAACTTATCCTAAGGCTGCAAGCAACGCCGCATCCCTTGGGGCGGACCCGACTTTAGGCTTCGTTGTCGGAGGAGGTTCGGCCGGAGGCAACATCAGCGCGGTCCTCGCGCACATCGCCAGAGACGAAAAGCTCTCCCCGCCACTAACAGGGCAGTATCTCTGCGTGCCGGCCATCACAGTCCTCATGAATAGAGAAGACATGCCGGAGGAGTACCAAGCCGAGTACCTAAGCCACCCAGCGGTGACGCCGTCTCTCGATCCGGTCCTCGTGCTTCCTGCCGAGGAACCGCGGGGCGTGTGGATGTCCCTCGTTGACTTTCACAGCCCTTTGATTGTTCCTTGGCTGTACAGAGAAAAGGAGAATGGCCATACTGGGCTTCCGCCGGCGTATTTCCAGGTCTGTGGGCTGGATCCCTTGCGAGACGAGGGTCTCATCTACGAGAGGGTGCTTCGAGAGGAAGCAGGGGTTAAGACGCGGCTGGATCTCTATCCTGGCGTGGGACATTATTTCTGGACCAATTTCCCGCTTTTGGAGAAGAGCAGGCAGTTCGTTGAAGATACCGTCAAGGGCATGAGGTGGCTATTGGAGCAGAAGTCGTGATTAACATGATACTGTACCGCTAACACGCTACAGCAAGTCGTGGGATGCGCTCCATATATCTCGTATTTAGACGTGTTTGCTGTCACATTGTATGCTGTCTGAGGATCTCTCAAGTTAAGGAGAAGGGGAACACAACTGAAAGGCCAACTCTACCTGGCCTCTTCATGTTCAATACCGGACACATGACCAGTCGAAGCAAGTTATCAATGATTACATGGTCCATTTGTCGTATGATTGTACACAATGGAATTCATTTCGACTAGTCTATGTCGAGTCTTCGTCAAGTGTTATAGCGCTAACAATGAAGTCTATGCCTGGGTTTTCCTAGCAACCTCCTCCGCCCACACGATCCTCTCCTTTTTCAGTTCCCTCTTCACATACCAGAACGTGAGGGGCGTCCAGATGCCTGCCCAGATGAATGGCACAGACCAGCCAACAACGTACGCGGCGTCCTTGCCGATAGTGAAAATCAAGATTGTACAGACCACTGCTGTGCCCTCTGCGCCGACAGCCCAAAAGACGCCTAGGCGCCTTAGCATGGCACGGAATATGTGGCTGGCTTCGTAGCGGCGGTCAAAGGCTTCTCGGAAAGCTGTGCCGCCCGAGCCATCAACCGAGCAAATATCCTCAATCAGACTATATATACCAGGCCGCAATTGCGCTCCCTTTGGAATCGACGAAATTCGACACGGGGCGGGTACTTGGAAATATCGACATATATCGACAATGAGGAGCTCCGTGCCGAATGTGTACAGCATGGTTGCTAGAGGCATGGAGAGTAGACGGATTGGTGGGTGCTCGGGTACGGATCCTCTGCAGGGGTTGTTGATTAGCGACAAACAAAGCTTATTTCCATCAGGGCCATTGAATCCATCCACTTACACAATCAGCTCGATCATGACAATGATCCATGCGAGCGAGAAGTTCCAGTGAAACCAATCCAGGTACCACCGGCGAGCCCCGATCACACGGCAGGTGCTGTTCTTCCTCCACAGCCGCCAGAAGCGAAGGAAGTACTCGATGATGCTGGCGCCGCCGATGGCAGCGGTGACGATTGAAAAGACAGTGTTGGCCGACAGTTTCTCCTTCTCTTCGGTTGGCGTGTTGGTCCCCGGCCCGACGCCATACCACAAGCCGAAGTATAGGGCGATGGGCATGGCGACAGAGTCGAAGACGATGACGGTCCAGAAGAGCAAGATGGCGATCTTGCGCGTCCGAAGCGTATAATTGAGCGGTGGAGGCTCTGGCTCAAAGATGGGCTGTATTACCCGTCCCGACGACTCGCCTTCGCTCCCCGCTGCCTGGTCGTCCAGCTTCTCTCGCTCCGGCTGGCCAATCGGTGACACAACGCCTTGTCTTATAGGGCTTGCTGGAGTGATTGACGACCTCCTCCGCTCCATGGCCAAGCTCGGTCGACCGAAGGGCCCATCGAATCGCCTATCGAATTCCTCGCTTGCTCGTACATTCTTGTGTGGTGCTATCCCGGCGGTTTTACTTGCCTGGACGGGGGCTATTCGCAACGGGGATTGTGGTGAGCCATGGTCGCCAGTGTGCGCGGTGGTGTCGGCTGTGTTGGGCATGCTCTGGGCTCGCTTTGGGTTGGTGATGGGCGGCGCGGTCCCGGTGTCAACGTGCAGTACGTGATCCAGCGACCTGGGGCCGTCGGCGTCGCCCGGCAGGCTCGGCCGGGTGTTGGACTTGCTCAATTGCGTATCAGCCGGGCCATCGTCTGCGTCCGACTGAGCCCTCTCGTCTCCTGCCATGCTGAGCTATCGTCTGTCCTCTATTGTCTATCGGCTATGAATCGTATCGTATATCGAGAGCGGCCAAATGGACGGATGGTCGTGGTTGGCGCATAGAGGCAGCCGGTGATGGAGCTCGAGTCGTGGCTTGATGGTAACAACGATAGTATATTGATTCGAGGTGATGGATGAAGGAATAGCGAATGAAGAAGATGAAGATTCTAGACTCTAGACTATTAAGACACGGAAGACGGGAAACCTGAATCAAACAATATGGCGGATTGCTGTCGCTGGTAGGAGGAGCACGACTCGTTGGGATACAGAGGAGAGCGGGCGGGCTGGCTGAATCTTGCTGTAGACTGGACTGGACTGGACTGGATTGGATTGGGAAGGAGGTGCGAGGATTGTGGCGTGACGTCAGTTCCGTCATGATTCAGGGATCGGCCACTCTTTTTATGTTGCAGTCCAGGCCCTGCACTACTCGGTACAGTGCTGTAGCGCCCGACAGCGCCCTACAGCACTGCTGGCACACCAAAAAAAGATCCCGGCAGCGTATTGAACAGAGCGAACAGGGCGTACCGTATTGGACAGTGTGTAGGTCAGTCTTCCAGGTTCCCCCGCAGCGCCGAGACGCTCCGTTTATTGGCTTTCGTCACTGTGATGGCTACTGTTGCTTTAACATTGTTATGTAAGGTTCAGTCCAGTTTCCTTGTCGCAGCGCAAAGGGAGGGGAGGAGAGATCTACGCCCGCCCCCGACGCCGTTGGAGTCGAGGAGGCATAATAAACGTAATAAACGGTCCGAAACGCTCGCTCTTATTAACGTCGTCACTAGGTACACTTACACCTACCTACCACTCACTCACTCACTCACTTGCTCGCTCGCTCAAACTACACTCAATAACTGGACTGGCAGACTGGATGGACCGGATGGATATCGCGGAGTCGGGGGTTAACACTGCCGCTAATGTTATGCAGTCTTCACCTCACCTCACGTCCGTGGATCATGCACAAACAATTCTCCAGTAGACGTCCTCTCGTTCTCTGTTTCTCTTCTTCCCAAGCATGCCGCGACTTCCGAGAGCCTGGACCTGTCTTTTCGCATGCATGGAGTGTAGGTCGTGTCGGCATCTCACTCATCGCCCAGGCCCACACTGCGTAAGCACCCTACCTAGAATACATGAAAATGAATTCCGGTACCTAGAAACCACTCGTAGGTGCTTCTATAGCTCGGCCTGTTAATGCGTGCCGAACCGGCGAACCGGGACACGCGAGGAAGAAGACGAGTAGGGAAGCATCTACGAGTGGTTAGTGATAACAGTTATACTGCGTAGTGCATGTACATATGGGTCGTTCAACCCACTCGGCGGACGGACACTATCCCGACCCCGTTTCGCCGTGTCACGTCTCCTCTCGAGAGTCTCACAGTAGACCCTGAGAAGTCGGAACACCATGGTTGATGTCTAGACATAATTACACGTTTGACGCCATTTTGTGCCGCCCCCAGTCTAGGACGTCTACCGATGTGTAGTGCGCGGTCGTGCCGCCGATCGGCAGGCCACGGTGCCCAGGTGGTGCTGTCAATGCTGATGGACCCTGCATTCCTGATCCTGATCCTGAATAAGCTCAGCTCGCGTCTGTAAGGCTGTACTAACTATACTATGGTAACAAGAAATGCATCATGTGCATCTCTTATATTTACCGCCATTGTCTTGGCTGCTATTGCTGGGCATTCCTTTCTTCTGACCTGCCCCAGCCTACGGCATCTACGGAAGCATCGGACTCGCAGTCCACGAGAAGACGTCTGGCATTATCATCATCATCATCATCATCATCGGCTTGCGATTCCGTCCCCCGTGATCAATGCTCGTTGCCCTTCAGCAGCGTCGTACCCATTGCATCGAATTGCGCATCCAGCATCATTATGGCCGTCGTTGCAGCTCAAACTGCGATATAAACTAAGATATGAGTATGCACTTCCGTCGCGTTGTAGTGCAAGCTGTAGACGTAGACATCATCATTGGCGCGGGCCTCCAGTTCACGCATTTTCTCGTCCAGCGATCCTCGTCCGCCCGCAACACAACGGTGCAGGACTCGCATCGCAACAAACACAGGGCCAAGTGGCCAATGACATCGAGAGTCAGCTCATTCGACTGAGCCTTCCTCTCGAGCTCTCCTTGAAATTAAACATCAGTTGTTTGGGCCTGCAGGCTGGCCCTCTGCAGTCGTCCGAACCCATAGATTTTCGGCCGAAATGGACAGGGGACACCATCCAGCGCCAACCATCGTCACTTTGGGTAGTGTGTACGAGATGCTGGTCCGACCGACTTCGTCCGCGTCGAGTCTTCTGAGGTAAAAAAACAGACCCATTGATGTATTTAAGGTGGTAAGATGGAAATTTATTCTTATTTCGCTGTATTTTTTCACGTATCTTGGTTCCCAGCTGTTTCTGCTGATTTGGCTTGATACAATGGCAGAAGCGGCTCCTGTATCCGCAATATCTTCGAAGAACATTGTAATACTAGGCGGCTCGTATGGCGGCGTGTCAACTGCCCATTACCTGCTCAAACATGTCCTCCCACGCATACCAGAGCCGACAACATATCAAGTCATCCTGATTAGCGCCTCATCCCAGGCCATGTGCCGACAGGCTTGCCCTCGTGCGCTCATATCGGACGATATGTTCCCCCAAGACAAGCTCTTCGTGAGCATCACGAAAGCCCTTGAGCAGTATCCCAAGGAGACTTTTCACTTTATCCACGGCACTGCAACTGAGCTTCACCACATCGATCGAACGGTGACGATCAGTGAAGCATCCGGAAACATCAAGACCCTAAGCTATAATGCTTTGGTCATCGCCACCGGCGCGTCGACACCATCTCCTCTCCTCGGTCTGAACCGTGGCGAGGACTTCCTAAAGGCAAACTGGACTGCGTTCAGACGAGCATTGCCAAACGCCAAGAGCATTGTCATTGCAGGGGGGGGTCCAGCAGGCATCGAGACGGCCGGCGAACTGGGTGAGTATCTCAACGGCAGAGCAGGGCATTGGGCGTCGAAGCTATCGAGCCCCAAAGTCTCTATCACTGTCATCACCGCCAGTTCTCAGATCCTGCCGGCCCTTAGACCGGCAATTGCTGCAAAGGCCGAGGCGTATCTTGCCAAGGTCGGCGTCACAGTCATCAAGAAAACCAAAGTGGCAAGTGTGACGCCAGCCGGTGCAGGGACGGACGACGTGGCAGCCAAAGCCACCGTCACACTCGACGACGGCAAGACCATCGACGCCGACCTCTACATCCCTGCCACTGGTACCGTGCCAAACACCAAGTTCATCCACGAGTCGCTTCTTGCGCCGGATGGCCGCGTGGAGACAAACTCGTCAACGCTGCGCGTCGACAAGGCCGGCCCGCGGGTCTACGCCGTCGGCGACGCGGCTTCGTACGCCCAGCCCGCCGTCCACCTCATCCTCGGCGCCATCCCCGTGCTCGGCGCAAACATCAAGCGCGATCTGCTCCTCGCAGCAGGGGCGAAGGCGGAGGCCGTCGGCGAGGATCGCGTATACAAGGAGGACACCCGCGAGACGCAGATGGTGCCGATTGGGAAGAGCAAGGGGGTCGGGGCGGCCATGGGCTACCAGGTGCCGAGCTTCATGGTGTGGCTCATCAAGGGACGGGACTACTGGCTGTGGACGACGGGTGGCTTGTGGAGCGGGAAGCAATGGGCCAAGGAGTCGTGATGGCTGTTAATTGTTGGCATTTCTCTTTTGGGTGTAATCGACAAGTATTGTATCAAATCATTGTGTTCAAAGCCAGATATCTTCCTCGTGTTTTGATTTCCACTGTTTGCTGCATCTGCAATGCACTCGGCGTCTCAGACTGCCTTTGAACTTTGCGAAAGAGGGCTCACTGGATGCCTCTCCAGCCCTCTACAGCCCGGCCTTAATGCTTGCATAGCTCTGGAATCTTCACGGACGTTCCGAGAGATCCATTGACCGTGTTGTTCCCGATGGACCATCGAGGGGAGGCGGGTGTGGCGGGTGCTACACCCAGAGAGGGGGTGGAGTGAGTCTGGTGCAGGGAGTGTGAGACAAATTGACAGGCTGACTTACACGCTATGTGAAGTGGCAGTTGGTTCGACGTCTTAACGCGGCTGAAAACCCCTGCACCAACAAGTCCGCCTAACGAAGCAGCCACACACTCGACCAGGATGCTGCGGCAGTACTATCCCCTGAGACCTCCTTGGACAGGGTTAGAGGGTGTAGACTTCAGTGTCTGTCCAACCCCCCGCGGGACTCAGGTGCATGCATACTACGCAGTAGATCGTGGTGGCGCAGATTGATAGGTGAAGATGCGTCGTCTGCCCGCTCAGCTGCGCCCGCTCTCTAACCGGAATCGAGTCACAACGGGGAAGACTAACAAGCACCGGCATGAACTTCCGTGGCTTTCCCCCACAGTCGCGCCATGGCCTGTTGATAACGACTTGCGGCATACAGGCGACTGGGCTGGCGGGTGCCCCTGTCGTCCTCTAGAGGGAGCCACCTCGCACCACACCACCAGAGAACCTACCCCTTCAGCGTTGAGGTACTTAAACAAAAACCAGTCTCGAGTCAAAGTTGATGTTGCGCCTGTAGACCTATTACAGAATTTACAAGTTGTTGATACACATGATGGCAGACATTGGCAGCCAGATCGATGAGCAGCTCGCTGCTGATATTGACGCTCAGGCTGTTGCCCACTTGAGAGAGCTTGTGATTCCGCAGATCCAGCGAGAATGCGATATCCAGGAGGCATCGATGGCAGCAGCATGGCAGACGATTCAGCACAGCATCAGTGCCTTGGATCGGAAAAAACAGATCATCTTTGCCACACTGAAGACGAAGGAGTCGCTGGAGAGAGCCCGGAAAGTCTTCGATGATGAGGTCTGGAACATGATGCCGCCCACCTTCAGCAAGATCGATACCGCCATCAAGACACAGACCAAGAAGGACCACCTACCCAGCCCCGTCGTTTCGCCTCGCCCCGTCGTTTCACCTCGCCCCGACAGGTTAGATGACTTTGATAGGAGGTCTTTTACACTCGATAATGCTCCTCCTAAACCCCACGAGGTATTCTCTCTACCTATGGGGTTGACGCGAATTGATGGGCTGCCGGACTATTCGGCTAGTTCAGACAGCGCGCCGACCACACCAGTGAGTGAACGTGCACTAGAAAGACAGAGACTCGTACTTACTCATATCGCGTGTCAAGTCTAAGAGAAAGAAGGATCTAGAAGCCACGACTCCAGGCAGTTTAAAGAAGAAACCACGACAGTCAAATATCTGCCAGCCAAATTCAACCTGCATCGAGCATCATACATTGATACAACCCAGTATCAAGCCTAGTCTCAAGATAGATACTTGGGAACTTGAAGGTTTAGATTATCTGTTCCAAGACCCCAAGGTCGGAAAGGATTGGCTCTGCGTTCGATGCAATTGGGAAGACGCCCTCGGAATTGTGCGATTCGCACAGCATCCATTAGAGTCCGGCTGTGCGTTGGATCATTTCAACAAGAAAGGGCTCAAATGCCACGATTCGTCTCGTAGCTACACTTGGGACGACATTCTAAGAGAGTTTACGTTTCGTGGTATGCATATGATCTACCTTGTCGTCTTTGCTTGCTTTGCTAACCTCTTCTCAAAGTTGACGAAGCAGACCTCGACGAGAATTGGGTCACGGCGAACAACATTCAGACTCAAGAGAAGGCTGCAGCCAAGACACCCAAGGGGAAGGGGAAGGCCAAGGCCAAGCAGCCAGTCTTCGCGCCAGCAAACCGAAAAGCGATTGATCCATCATATGTCCCAGAGGCAGACATGAGCCTCGGCGATGTAGGTCTAATATTCGCATCCTATCCAAATCTCGTTCGCTGACACTTTACCCCGAGGTAGACCCAATAGTTGATGAAGTGATTCGAGAAGTATTGATGTCTTGCCATGATTGTTGAGCAACCTTATCAGGCGTGGATGATGTATATGACTTAGATTGGCCACAAAATATCTCTTGGTGTCATAAATTGACGTTTCTTTTCTTTCCGTGTATTTAGATAGTTTACTGCTATTGCAAGATAGCAAATAATCCCATTGGATATACCAACTTTGAACACGAAAGCCACATACTCTGTGAAGCCTCTAGTTTAGGGGCTTTTCAAAAACTGAAGATGAAACTCAACTTCTTTGTTGACAGAAAACGCCAAGTCTCCGCAGTAAACGGCCACCAGCATAAGGATCACTGTATGATTCGCAGGCATTCCCTAACCACTGCATTAGCGGTAGTTTAGGACTGAGAAGCCTGCTTGTTCTTTATCGGAGTCAACGCTTCAGAATTACAAGCTATTGCAGAGTGCATAATAATCGTGCGTGAGGTGACAAGCTGATACGGCAAACTACCTCTCATTCGTTTGCATCAATTCGGGGCGCCCGAGCGCTCTGCATTCTTAAAAGAACCACGGTCTTTCTAGGATTGCAAGTTTGCTCGTTTTTATCTTCTTTCCCAACATAATGTTTTGACGGAACAGGTATTCGACTTGAAGGTCAGGGAGTCACCACTCCATATCAACTCCACAATCTGTCAAACGATAGTTAGCTCCTTGCCTCCAAGTTTCCCTCTTCAAAACAAACAGCTGCTAAGCTGGCAATCCCACTTGTCGGCAAACACTCCTTTTGTGGCAGAGTCAACAAACAACATTAAAACGGATCATGATGGATGGCCCAAAGGAATGGAAGAGACAGCTTTGTGAAGGAATCGTCGATGACTGGAAGAGAAAGCGACAGCAGCGCTTGGACGCGTTTACCAAAGGCGTCATGGATTTGATTCAACAGGAATACACAGAATGGTGTGGTACCGAGGAAGGTTGGCGCGAAATGTTGAAGCAAATGGTTGGCAGCAAACTAGCCGACGAGGTTGCCGATGAACTTAAAGATGCTCGAAGATTCGAAATTAAAGAACAGATCATGAAAAACTTCTTGCTGGTCTCCAACGATGAGTTGACACCGCCTTCGTCCGTGCAGGGAGACGACACTGTCCAGCCGGGATATGTTCGGTTCCTCAACTTCTCGCCCCCACGAAGTCCACAAGATACCACCACTGAAGTGTCAACCAATGGCAACGCCGCTGGATTTTCCTCTACCGTAAGCTTTCTCCTTTTCTAGTTCCGTAACAGACACATATTCTTATAGAGTTGACAGTCAGGGCTGGTTTCTACATGCAAGTCCCAGTCGGACACGGCTCCAAACCATCATCCTTCGAAAGTGGTCAAGCCCAAGCTTCAGGCGAGACGACCACCACCAAAGCCTCTTCGTACCGATATTCACGGACCCCCCGAAATGCGCCCGGGAAAAGTCCAAGCTCTAAGGCGCGCAACAATTGCAGGATCTCATAATTGACAAACATCCATTGCCCAGGGAGCGCTATTTTCCTATTACTATTTGGCAGCATACGGGTTGGACTTGAGGCCAATGTACATACATTTGATAAATTCGTTGGGGCAGATACAACAGCCACCAGATGCTTCCTCACATAAGCTGCTATCTGCTCTCATTCAAATCATCTCTACGGAGAATTACTTCGCGCGCCTCTATGAATTTATTGTAGAGTGAAAGGCGAGTTCATTACATGTCGAGTGCGGGTCCAGTAATTTACGCAGGTAGTAGCTGACCATCAAGGTCCTTGGCATCGCCAATAGGGTGCGTACTGCTTATAACAAAATTTCCTCAGGAGCGCCCAAGGATTCTTCTTTTCTGTGGAGCACATGTGAATCAAGAAAAATACGGCCGTATACATACTGTTGTGAAAAACTACTTGTTCAACTCGTGCTCTAGTCGTGTATATTGCCTACACATTGAACCTTCTCAGTTCACCGAACTCATTGATGCTATCCAAGAAGTACCACAGAAGTAGCATTACATAAACATATCGATGAATTTTAGACTGTATCTGATAACTAGGTTATAAGACAAAAAAGAAGTCTCTTTCCTAACATGTTCAACTTAGTAGTTTAAGGTGTAGGTGATCCGCTGACCCACTTACAAATAACCATCAAGGTGTACCATCATCGATTATGTACAAATGACTATAAGACAGCATTTGTCATTAGGAAAATGACATAGATTAATCGCCTTGGATAAAGACTTAATTCAATTGCAATATCGGTGGAATCCAAGATATCCATATTTGCCCATTGATTACTCTCATTCCATCATGGCCTCAATATCCGACCCAGCAAACGTCAATCTCGACACGGCAGATCCGAGGGACATCATATGTTACCTATCAGCCGGTGAGGAAAACCAACAAGGCCGACTTGATGTACGAATCTCTGCTGTCTTCGTAATCTTCATTGCATCAACTGTCACTACGATCTTCCCCGTCCTGGCAACACGAGTCAAGTCATTCCGAGTTCCGCTTTATGTCTACCTATTTGCCCGGTATTTTGGATCTGGTGTTATTATTGCAACAGCTTTCATTCATCTTCTTGATCCAGCCTATGATGAAATTGGTCCGGCCTCATGCGTTGGCATGACGGGCAACTGGGCTACCTATACCTGGCCGCCTGCAATTGCCATGGCTTCCGTCATGATGATTTTTTTACTAGACTTCCTTGGGGAGTGGTACGTCGAAGTGAAGTACGGGGTGACCGACACGGCAGCATTTGACGGGCTTGCTCATTCGGCCAACGCTCCTTCTGATCAGCCATACAGCGATGAGCCTTCAAGACAGCTACAAGCAGAACAGAACCAGATCGTGGAAGATGACTGCAGATGTGAGCCTTGCGGGATTCAGATGAAACAATCAGTACTAGACGATCTAGAGAGCGTCTCGCCTTCAGCCACTCAGCGAGCATTTCGAGAACAGATCGCCGCATTTCTGATCCTCGAGTTTGGAATCATATTCCACTCAGTCATCATCGGGCTTAACCTCGGCGTTGTGGGCGATGAGTTCTTCACCTTATATCCCGTCATGGTCTTCCATCAGGCGTTCGAGGGACTGGGAATAGGGGCTCGGCTGTCTGCGATCCCCTTTCCGAGGCATCTTAGCGCGCTGCCATGGTTACTGTGCTTTGCGTATGGCATAACAACACCAGTCGCTATTGCAATTGGTCTTGGTGTAAGGTCCTCGTATGATAGCGGGTCTTTTACAGCAAATGTCGTGTCTGGTATTATTGATTCAGCATCGGCTGGCATTTTACTTTACACTGGTCTTGTCGAGATGCTTGCGCGGGACTTCCTTTTCAACCCCAGCATGACACGCAACAAAAAGCAAAACCTGTTAATGTTATTTTGTTTGTTCCTTGGCGCTGGACTGATGGCACTATTAGGTAAATGGGCATAATGCCCCAGGAGGATGGATATAAACAGCATTACTAGAGACTACCTAGCAGGTAAATTTAGATTGTGACCCAATGGCCTCTGTATTTCTAGAATTAAGTTATGGGGGCGCTGTGACGTGTGAAACTAGCACGAGTGTTACCATATTGAACGCAGAATATGATGATAATGAATCTGCATGGCTAAGCCTTTTGATTCCTGGTGCACCTATAGCATAGCGTGCGATTATCATGTATAGGGTGAATCGAGTCAGGCGACACGAAACACCTTGTTGGCCTTCGGAGACTTTTCGCTCACTTCCTTTGCCATCGACCCACACGCTTAACCTACACGCAAGAAATGTGCCCTCAATTTGCTTATAAAAAGAACCAGGAGAGTTTCAGACCTATGTATTATAGCTCATCCGGTATTAGGAGAAAAGCCCACAAGTGAACCATCTAGCTCAAAGTCATTTATTACAACTCAGGTATATTTAGCACCTCACGCGACTAGGACGATGAACGACAACAGCACCAAAACAAAAACGATCGGCGAGCTGAACCGAGAGTTCTTCAAGTTAGCCTCACTCTACTAAATGGCTGATTTCCGTCGAGGCTGACATCTTCACTATAACTGCAGCAAGGGAGCTGCTGAGGCATTCACAATTCCTTGGGTCCAGGACCTAATCGCACAGATCTCAAATTACTTGCGGGATAATACGGAATGGATTGGGATAGCTCCAAGAGACTCTGCCAGGGATGGCGGCGTCAAGGTCCTTGATTATGCATGCGGTAATGGCACAGTGTCTACGGTGAGACCAAGAACTTTGAATTAGTTAACAAATTTGGCGACTGACATGAGGCAGGCACTGGCTCCTTTCGCGTCTATTCTGCGCGGAATCGACATTTCTGATGGCATGGTCGAGCAGTACAACGCCGGCGCTCGAAGACAAGAGTTGTCGTGGGATCAGATGCATGCGCGTCAAGGGGACCTTTTAGCAGAGTCCGAGCATCTGAAAGATCCAGATCTCTTCGACTTCGACGTCGCAGCAATCTCCATGTCATTGCATCACGTCGAAGACGCCCCGAAATTGATTGAGAAGCTAACTGAACGTCTTCGTCCGGGCGGCTCTGTTCTCGTAATTGATTGGGTCTCACCACAAGAAAGCGGATGTGGCCTTCCGCCCAAGGCAGCTGAGCTTCCAGCAGTGCAGACCATTACGTATCATGGATTCACCGAGAAGCAGATGCTTGATATGTTCAAGGCAGCTGGATTGACGAATATCAGCTACAAATGGCATCCGGGACGCTCAAAAGGCCCTGTAGAGATCGGCGGAGAGCAGCAGCTATTCTTTGCGAGAGCCACAAAGCCGTAAGAGTTGATAGCTCTTGAAACCATGGAGTTCGATTCTTACTAGCACCCGAAAGGAGCAGGGTATGAGAAGAATATACAAAGAGCAATGTGTAGACACACGAGTATCAATCCATAAGTGATCCATAAGTTCTTGTTTTTCTATGTAATTCCTTACGTGATCACCGGCCGTAGGATTTCCATGCATCCGAGGTGTGGGCCGGGGCCGTCTCCCGTTGTAAGCTCCGAACCGCGTCGGAGCTTTACCCCTTGCCGCCAAGCCTTTCCGGCGCCGGGTGGCCGCGTGTTGTGTCTTGCTCAAAAGCTCTCATACACCTTCGAAACTCACTAGAAGCTTTTCTCCTTGTTGAATCGGAGATGATTCAGCTTCTACGAAATGGAGACAACAGCAATGCCTCGATCATCGCGTATAAATCTCAGCCGTCGCTCTCTAGGTTCAGAGCAATTCTCATCTTCAAACCGCCAGAGCAACACCCTTAAGTTTCAAGCGTTGCTGTGATGCACTATTATCAATGACAATGACTTCAACATATCCCAAGTCTCTCCGTATTGGAGTCATGCTGGAGGCTGTCCAGCTAAGCGACATTGTTGGTATTGACATCTTCGGCAATATGTCTACCAAGATCCTGGCTGAGATCGCCGCGAATGGCCCGGACTATGCCGTTCTTCTCGACAAGGCAATCGACATGGAGTTTTTCTACATGTCCTCCACTCTCGATCCATTCGAAGTCACTCCAAGCTTGAAGATCGTTCCGAACGTGACGTACGATACGTGCCCTCGGGATCTCGATATTGTTGTGATTGGTGGACCGTTTCCTACGTTCCGACCTGCCGGCGCAGATAAATTCATGAAGGAGGCATGGTCTAAGACGCGCGTATGGTTGACCACCTGCACCGGAGCACTGTGGCTTGCCAGCACAGGGAAACTGAGCGGCCACAAGGCGACTGCCAACCGCGCCGCGGTTCCTATCGCCCAGCAGATGTACCCGGACGTCCAATGGCTGGACCAGCGATGGGTCGTGGATGAAAAGCCCTTTGATGGCGAAGGGAAGGGCGAGCTCTGGACAGGCGGCGGCGCTGGTGCTGGTAAATGACCTTACTGTTCACTTTGTAGATGTGTTTACTGACTGAGTGATCTTGCTTAGGTATCGAGATGATGGCGACATATGCCTTGCAGAACTTTGATCAGGACTTCTTGAGAAAAGTGAGTCTTTCTTTGCTGGAATTTGATCCGGATGGAAGCCATGGGCAATTCTATAAGCAGGCATGAGTCTCACGGCAGTGCAGCTTGCGTCAACATCTACAAGCAGCCGCAGCCGCTATTGTTTTCATCTGACAGCAATTCACAATGAGATATCTAGCTTTACTATAAGCCGTGGGATAGGCCTCGTCGAGATATGTAGAGTTCAAAGGGACGGCAATAACTAAACATTGCCATCTTGATTTCGTATTGTTACGTCGCAGGGATCCGGGGCATCTTGAATAAACAAAGAGTAGAAGTACAGTACAAGAATCTTGCTGGAGATGACACTGTTCTCATCCTGTGCAAAGTGAGAAGGATGGGTGGCTCAAAGAAGGAAGCTAGTCATCCTTAAGGTTGGTGGGATTTTAAGGACCTGGCGGCTGCGGTTGCGTTGACTTTAAGCTCCCCCGCATGCCCCGCCTTGGGGACAGTCCGCCTAGCTGCGAGGCTGAAAATTTTCCTACTACAGCGCAGCTTAGATCTGAAAATTATTCCGCGAGCAAACCTCCCTTAGACAATATCTTCATTCACATCTTCTACGGCCGCCAGTGTACGCCCGTTACAGGCGCCGTAAGGATGCACTCCCTAGTCGAACCCAATGCCTGGGTGGCCCTCAAGCTGCCATCAGACAACACAAAAGTCTTGCAGTTAACGCCAAATACGTATGTGGATGCGCCTTCAGGTTTGCTCCCCTCACAATTGTGCTAACACCTCTCTCAATTGGTACAGCACGATCTCCCTAGGAAAATATGGCTCCTTTCCAAGCAATCTTATCATCCATCGCCCTTTCCACCTTACCTACGAGTTGCAAGACAAGAAGCCCGGGGAGAACTTTAGCAGGTTACGAGTCGTCCCACCCGAGGAGCTCTACGCCGACATCTTCGCGGAAGAAGCAGCAGCCGCCGGCACGTCTGGCAAGGACAAAGACGCAGTGGACGACTCTGACAAGATAATATCTGCAATGGACGAATTCGAGTACAGCCTCGTCGACAATGACACCGGATCGGTGCTGGTGCGCTCGAACCGCGAGATTCTCGACGACAGTGCGCGGCAGACGCTCACCATGAAAGAGATTGAAGTGCTCAAGAGGGACGGCACTGATGCCGGGAAAGATCTGATCGCGAAGCTCATGCTCTCTCACACGGCGCTCGACCAAAAGACAAGCTTCAGCCTCGCAAAATACAAGCTTCTCAAGACGAAGAAATACATCCGCCGGTTCACGGTGCTACCGTTGGACCCTACGCTCCTTGGACAGTGGCAACTGAACGAGAAAGATGGGTCGAGGATTCTAGACATGAGGGAGGAGATGCTGGGTCTGCTGGGCTGCTGGGGCAATGTACACTGCGGCGGAGAGGCGATATTCCTGCCGGAGACCATGCCCACGGGACCCACCGCAGACGAGGATGCTATTCGGGAGGTTCTAAAAAAGAGGGAGCCGGAAGGAGTGAGGTACTTGGTTGTTGACGATACAGGTGGATTCCTCGTCGCAGCCATGGCTGAGAGGATGGGCATACTCTACTCGACGGAGCAAGATCAGGGGGCGGTTGATAACGAAGCTCCCGTCAATGGGCCCGCGTCAATACCTAAGGCAGAAACGGCGTCCACAGAGACGGCTCATGATGATGTGGTTATGGAGAATGGTGACGAAGCTGCACCTCAAGCGTCTGGCCTTGAGGCAAAGGTCGACACAGAGGGAGACGCCCCTGCAGGAGCTGAGGCACAACAGACTTGCCAGCAAGCAACGCAGCAGGTTACGCTCCCACACAAACCGTATAGACGACCGCGGCACCCCACCTATCACGATTTCCATATCCCATTCAGTCTCACCAACACCATGACAATGATTCACTCCAATAGCCAGCCGAATCTAAGCTTCCTGAAATACTACGGCTTTGACGACACCGACCTAATCAATTCCACTCACCCACTCGTGAACCATCTCCTGACTATGAGTTGGTTACAGCTTCTCGACCCAGAGCAAGACTCGACGTACACTGCAGAGCCGGTAAGCAAGTCAGCCGAAGAAGTATCGAAGTGGAAGGCCAATCGCAGAGGCCAATACCACCGAAAGCGTCGGAGATGGGCTCGGACGCGGTACATCATCGACAGCGCGAGAGCGGGAGGGTTCTCCGGACTTGTGGTGGCATCTACAATGACACCGATTTCGGTTCTTCGGCCTTTGTTGCCCCTTCTCGCAGGAGGCGCTTCGGTAGCGGTGTACTCGCAGGCACTTGAGCCTTTGACTGAACTGGCGGATTGCTTCAGCGTCTCGCGCCGCGCCGCGTGGAGCGGTCACAATCGGCCTGTCGAGACTGATGGCAAGACCGTGGAGGAGCTGGAGAACTGGCCGGGAAGCGATGAGTTCCCCATCAACCCAACTTTATTGCAGGGTGTGCAGATACAGACAAGTCGTGCAAGGAAGTGGCAGGTCCTGCCAGGCCGGACGCATCCCTTGATGACTGCCAAAGGTGGCGCCGAAGGTTACGTCTTCACGGCCTGGAGAGTCAAACCTGTCGAGGGAAAGGTGGAGGCACGGGGAAAGTTCAAGAAGAGAAAGATTGGCGGTGGTCCAGAGGGCCAAGATAGTGCTGCCGAGACACCAGCGGCCTAGATGTCATTGGCAGGCGCAAATTGTGTACTAGATATCATCACGAAAAGATACCCCAGGGAACCGGCTCTCGACAGGGACGAGCGAAAATGGATAGACTCATGCATAGCATCGTTGATAGATAGTTTTTGCGACACTTGATACGATACATTTTCAACATTGAACTGCATCGTCTCTCGTCCACCGGTGCTTTTGATTCACAACAGGTCTCAGTTTCACTTTGCCGGGCGACAGTCCCTCTGAGGCGCCGCGCGATTGTTCCCGTCGGATTGCACGCACACTTCAACATGTTCTCTTTCATTAGACCAGGCCGAGGCTGCAACCCACTCCCGTCTCTCGTACTATAGCGACTTGCCCATGAACTTCCGCTTCGTGAAGCTAAGCCACCACTTGCTCGGCTTCCCATCTCCGCCTTCCTCGTATACCCTTGCTAGTAGCCGCGAGGCCAGCTCTTGTCTTACTTGGGACATGTACTGCCGTAGCAATTCTGAATCTTGCCTATCTCGGGGAGGCTCGTACATCTAATGGGCACCAAAGTCAGAAGATCAACTCGACTGCTTCCGACGAGATCGACCACCCCATGGTTTCAGCCATTCTTTAGTAACGCACCTGGTTTAGAGGCCATGCCGGATCGCCTGGGATGGCGAAGTTTGTGTCAAGCGCCAGGTTCAGCACATCCTTGGTAGCATCCCGCACGCCCTGGTGAGGCTTGATCTTGCTGAGGCAGTCACTGACAAACCAGATGCCGTAGACCAGCAGGCGGTCTGCCGGGCCTTGGATCTCAAAGTTCCTGAAGAATGTGTTGGCGCGGAAGAGGGCGAGCACTTCGTCCAGGATGTCGTAGCTGTCGGAATCCGGATCCGGGGACTCGTTGGCCGGTAGAGGGGGGGAGGGAATCGGCAGCGTGTATGCGGGACCACGGGTCTTGGTGCGCAGTGGCAGCAATGGGAAGTTGCCAACCAGCCGCGGCGGATTGGGATCCGCGTTGAAGATGGAGTTGTAGGCCTGATACTCGTCAGCGCATGCTCGTGTGCATGAAGCACTAGAGGGCCCCCTGGACTTGTTGAAGTGTCTCTTCAATGTGACATGGCAGGATTGCATGATCAGGGAAGCTGCAGCAGAAACAGTGAGTACGTACCGGCATGGTAGGAGATATGCCACCAAGGTGTTCGGTGGTGCAGGTCCGGACTATACCGTGGTCAACTCTGATGATTTGCAGTTCCAGCCTCCGCGGGGTGCAGATGGTGTTTGCGGCGGTGCGATGCTGGCTGACGTCTCATTGTGCTGCTGCAGCTCCTGCTGAGGTAAGGTGGGGGGGTTCTTCCAAGCCTAGAAAATGAGGCATCATTTTTCTTTTTGGTGGGTGCCTGGCAGGTGACTCGGCACGGAAGAGGATGACGCATCAATTGTGGCGTCGCACCTGCCGTGAGTCGTGCCTAAGGATTGAAGCGCCACTCCCTGACACAGCATTGGCCGACCGTGACACACCCCCAAAACGGCTAAACCCGGCTAAAGATGCTTTGATGCCTGGAGTCAGCTGACTGCGAGTGCTTTTCGCGCAACCGGATCGCGAACGGCTGGCGCTCTTTGGCTGGCTGGGGCCGCTTAGGTGGCTCGGGTGGGTGTGGTAGGGCAGGATAGTGGCGAGTCGCGTTTTCTGGATTTCGAGGTGGCACGCCGCCCTTCACGCCCTTCCTGCCAAAAATCAAAATTTCAGGTTTTCATCCAGACGTGGACTGCACCTTCCGTGGGATTGAATGGACGAATTCATTTGCCTCGGGTACCAAAAGTACCCAAAAGACCATTCAAGTACTGGTAGCTACATTTTGTGGGAAGGTACTTGCATCCTCCCTTCCAATTTTGTATTTTGTATTTTGTAAACCAGCCAGCCCTTCCAAAGCTCCTCCCATCCCTGCAGGTGCAATTGTTATTGTTAACGATAACTACTCGAGTACAGTACAGCAAACACCTTACTCGGGTACCTCATGTTCCTTATCACCCAGGGCTCCTGTTATGCGAGTCTTGGCCTCCACTCCAGGCCGCAACCGTACCGTACCGGTAACAGACAGCATTTACAACTACTTCCTAGGTAAATCCCACCCACCCACTCTCTCCCTCACTCCCTCACTTCTCTCTTATTACTGCGCCATAATAAGGTAGTAAGTTCGGCCTGGTGGTTGGTTACCTTGCCCCTTAGCAGTCCATCCATTACTCGTACGAAGCCAGCGCATTAAGTCACTGAAGTCCCGAGGTCTGTCAGGCAGGCGGCCACCTTAACATTGAAATGAAATAAAATAAAAATAAAATAAAACACGCCCTGCCGCCCGCCCTCGCTGCTCTGTTGGATGTGCGCGACACGTACGTTTCATCCCTCTTCCCTCTTCCCACACCACACCACACCACACTACACCACACAACACGCTGCCGCTGCCGCTGCCCTCAGCACAGCACAATTCCAAATCTCCTAAGAACCAACTGAGATTTGAGGTGTGAAACTCGCCGCCGTCGTCTTCTTCTTCTCACCACTTCATCCTCTTTCCGCCTCGTTGCAATACGCGCCGTCAGCTTGCCCTGTATTTTGACGGCCAGTAGCCTAGGCGCATTTCGCGGGGTTGTGGGTGGCACTGTGTGTGTGCGTGTGTGCATGCACTGCAGAGCGTGTCGCGCGTCAAGGGTCAAAGATCGACAGGGCTCCAGCTACCTCACCATTGTTACTGCTCCCTAGGCACATACATACATCACAGTGCTTCGTCTCCCCGGATGAACAAGCAAGCCACTGTCCTCCTCCCCTACTTTGTTAAGGACAGTCGCACCTTGACAGCCAGTCTATGTTAACGTTAGTGTAAGTTGCATGTCCTTTTTCTAATGCGCGATCTTCACCTACTGCCTGCTCTGTGAGGCATGTAAGCCTACTAACACGACCGTGTACAAAGGACCATCACGTACTACAGCCAACTCTTCGATAAGCTGCGAGGCCTCATCGACATGGCGACTCCGACCGACAGGCTCACCAAGCCATCACCAGATGCCAATATTCTCAGTGCTACATGTCCAGGCATGCAGACGGCCGCGGCTCGACATCGGAGACGGAGAAGACGCATCATACGCCCTGAGCAGGGCTCTCTCTATGATATCATGCGCGAGCACTGCGGAACTTCTCTTTATGTCCTACCGATCTGCTGGACTGATCTTCACGCTCGGCTTCTTCAGGCGCGTTTCTTAGAGCAGGATCCCATCCTCACACCACTCCCATCCTCCAAATCGCCGCTACGATACGAGCCGCGACCGAGCCAGACAGCTGCAGGACTAAGCAGGGACTTGACGGTGTTGCTGAGCCCAGAGCTTACGCGCCCGTTCTGCAAGACGAGAGCCATCAAGAGCGTTCTCTCGACGCTGTTCCCCACTACAATGTCCAGACCCAAGACCGGGGGCGAACTCGACCTTTACTTTGGGGATCGTGTCTTCAGAAAAGCTGTGCGGGTGCCCATAATATGGAAACGTCCGGAATGCATCACTGCCTCTTTTGACAGTGCTGTCACCCGGCCGGCAACTTCATTCGGGAGGATACCTAGCAGCAGCCACGAGAGTATATCGAGCAGCTCGTGGAGCTGCAACAACAGCCAGTCGACACGCGATGAACCGATGCTGGCTTACATCAATCGTACACAACTCGCTCTTGTGCGTGCAAATCTGTTCCGGATAGTTGCCGGGCCAGACAATGGAGATCGATCCAATGGTCCGGTGTCGAGACTCCAGCAGTTGCGCAGCAAGATGCTGATTCCAGAGAATGCTGAACATGATGCGCATTTCGTTGGCATCCTACTCGCCATGGCACAAGCACACTTCTACGAATCCCGATCCATGCAACCATCGAGGTCATCCTCTCAGTCATCGCGCATGAATGGGAGCAGTCAGAAGGATGACCCCACCAAACCAGACTTCCGTGATGTTACTGTTCAGTTGCTTACTCACGCGGACGACTCTGCCGAGTTCATTGTATACAAGGCCGTGGTGACAGCAGGCTTTTTGCGTCGATTCTCTACACCAGCAAAATTTTCCAAGTTGGAGGCCATACCTGATTGCGGCATGAATATCGAGTACACAAAGGTTCCGATCTGGCCAGTGCTTGGTCTGAAGGAGAGACTGGGCAAGGCTCTCGGTCGTGAGATCGCTGGAGACATCCTTCCAGATGACGAGAGTATTGAAACGTGGGAGAGTCAAGAAGACAGACAGGCACGGCTCGGTAGCTTGAAGCGCAAGAGAATCGACCGAGAGGCGCTGTCTGAGGTGTTCAATCAGAGCTTTGAAGTTCACGAAGATAGTAGCCAGGAGCCCACACCCTCTACTGGGAACAGACTGGGCATCTCAGCTCCTCTATCTCCTACCTCGAAGCGACGACGAACAAGGCCCATCAGTGAGCTAGAGGTCTGCTAGCACCAGAAAGAGGCCCATTGATACGGCATAATTGTTCCAATCCATTTCACCCTTTCTTCTCCACCACCTAGATGGTTTGTCTAGGTGGAAGGAATACCTATGGCATGAGATATGAAAGGCGTTGCGGGCTGCATCAGAGGGTTAGAAATGCATTCATGCCCTAGAATTGCTTTTGGTCGAGTTCTTTTCATTGCAAATACTACATAGCGGGCATGATTATTCGCTCCGGCTCGATCGTGTTGAGTAAACGGGTTCAACAGCTGAGTCGTCGTGACTTTCTCAGGACGTATGCTGCAACTTGGTACATATGCTCATGTGCTCAACACTATAGCTCCGGTGGTCGTTCGTTGATTTTTAGTCTTAGTAGCACAAATACCCTTAAGATGGCAAACAAGAGCTGTGATTGCTGAGTCTAACTCTCTAGAATGCCTGCATTTGCTCTTAGTGATTGTCTTCTTGTCCGCATGGCTTGGCCTCACCTAACAAGGCGTCCGCCAAGTCTCTGCGGGGTACATCAACACAGACGATTTCGTCCTTTTCATTGAACTTCACTCCGGAAGTCACGACTGTTACACTAGCACCAAACCGGTGACCCGTAAGAACGGCTGAGTCCTACAACTGTCTACTTGGGTTTTCAAGATGATAACTGTATTATTCTGCTGTCAAGATCTCTAGCTGTAGCTCTTCATTTCAAAGTCGTATTGTGCTTCATCACTCGAACACATATAAACTCCACATGCCGTCAGCGCCGGGTTAATCGGCGTGAATCCTTCATCTCCTCATTTACTCAGTCATGCCACAATCAACATTTGGCTTCCGTGTGCTCGCGAACTTGGTGTACACCTACAACTCACTCCGTTTTGGCAAAAACAGCATGGAAGCTCTCGTGGGCCAAGCTATGAAAGACAGCGCTTCGCTGCGGAAGGCCTCGGTGCCATGGAAAGATGATGAGCCTCATCCACAGCCCTACTACACTTTCGACTCCGCGACCTCTTCTTGGGTTTTGAAGACCCCGTCTGATGACGCAGCCCCATCTGGAGATAATGACGGAATCAACAGCATCGCCCTCTACAGCTGGAACATTGACTTTATGCTGCCCTTCGCCAAAGCTCGCATGCAGCCAGCACTTGCTCACCTCGCCAGCCTAATACGTTCCGGTCCGTCGAGCACGGCTCCCGTCATCTTCCTCCAAGAGTGCACGCCTTTGGACCTGGCCACAATCGCCGATACGCCGTGGGTCCGGGAGCGATTCCATTTGACCGACCTGGACACAAGCAATTGGGCGACGACCCACTACGGTACAATAACGCTTATTGACTCCCGCCTGCCCATCACGGCGGTCTTCCGGGTGCACTACTCCAAGACGCGCATGGACCGCGACGCCTTCTTCGTAGACGTGTCCCTCGAGGGCAAGACGGTCCGCCTCTGCAACACACACCTCGAGTCCCTCGCCCTGAACCCGCCCTTCCGCCCGCCCCAGATGGAGATCGCGGCGAGGTACCTGCGTGAGGACAAGGTCCACGCCGGCCTAGCGGCGGGAGACTTCAACGCCATCCAACTGTTCGACCGCACGCTGCACACGGACAATGGCCTGAAGGACGCCTTCCTAGAGCTGGGCGGGAAGGAGGATACCGAGGAGGGCTACACCTGGGGCCAGCAGGCGGCGACGAAGCTCCGGGAGCAGTTTGGGTGCTCGAGGATGGATAAGGTCTACTTCTGTGGCGGCGCTGAAGTGGTCAGCTTCGACAGGTTCGGTGCCGACGTGCTGACCGAGGGAGAGGAGGAGACAAGTCAGATCGTAGCGATGGGCTTTGAGAAAGCGTGGGTGACGGATCACCTGGGTATCAAGGCCGAGGTGAAGCTTGCCACAGGTAAAAGCGAGAGCCGTCTCTAATGGTGTCGACGGCAGTCCCAGAACTAGAAGGACTGTATGGACCGGGTCATTTCTTCCATAGCAAGTGTTATTCGCGCAGCGTTTTCTATATGAAAATATCTCGAGCATATATGTAGATCTTACTGACAAATGATGAACCTCATCATCACACTCACAATCTTCAGATGGTTGACTTCATCGTAGCCAGTCTTCTCAGTACAGGCAGTTATCTTTAACAACAGGTTTCTCGCCACTTTAGTGAGATAGCACATAGCAGACAGGTCATGATTATTGCTCGGATCTTTCTCAGTCATAAGATCAGCTCCTCAGCTGAAAGCAGAGCCGTACAGCCCTGCAATATCCTCGAAATTGCTACTACTCGAGTTGCGGCGTGATGTCAAATATGTTAGTATTAGAAATTGTGGTTTGATAAAGGCGCGCCAGGAAGAGGCGCACGAATCAAGTTAACGCATAGCGCCGACAAACTGAGCGGATATACATGTTGTTAACATATCAAGAGACCAAACCAATACATAACTATAGAAGAGCTTGCTGACTGCGACACGGTTTTTTGCACTGCATAGTGGGCATGTTGATAGCTAGCCCTCCATTAGGCCCTGGAAGCTATGAGAAGTTGAATAGCAATGATGAATTCGTATTTTAAAAGATTATGACCAGCTTTACTTCGTAGGTCCATCACATACATTTGCAAATCCTCCTGGCTTTGAGAGTTCGTAGTCTCTGTTAAGGCGGCGAGGGGCGCTGCTGCTCCCGCGGGCAAGATCCGGGATATGCGACATGGATCCCAAATAGCCGGGCTCAACCTAGACCCCGTATGTAACATCATTTGCAACTTAACGATTGGCGCGCTTTTCAATGACCAGAGGGGTTTTCTGAATCGCCTCTACTTCCACGAATGAGATTATGTATAAAACTATTGTAAAATTCCTCGATGTTTCAAAGAATATTATATATCTCCATCTCGAAGATTTTAAAAGTTGAAAGGGCAATTCCTTGAGAAGGCGTCATTTCAGACTCCATTTCAGCCAAGATGACGAATACGTGTGTAAAGAATGTCATAATACTTTGTTTATTTGTGTTCAGTGTGGCCAATCAAGTCAGCGCACAGCCAGCTAAGATATCCAACAGACATCATGCCGCTGGTAGTACCAATTTCTCCAATCCAGTATTGTGGGAGGATTACCCTGACCTAGATGTCTTTCGCGTCGGCGACGTGTTCTACTACTCCTCCTCGACTTTTGCGTATTCCCCAGGTGCGCCTGTCCTAAAATCGTACGACTTGATAAACTGGCAACCCGTCTCGCACAGCGTCCCTGAGCTCAATTTCGGTGCTAAGTACAATCTTGATGGTCACGGCCAAGCGTATGTCAAAGGAATATGGGCGAGCACGTTGCGTTACCGCCAGTCAAATGACAAATTTTATTGGCTGGGGTGCATTGAGAACAATAAAACTTATATCTGGACAGCTCCCGGACACGACGCCTTGGCCAGAGATGGAGAGGTTTCTAGCTGGGAGTGGACCAGTCATCCACCAATTGACACATGCTACTACGACTGCGGCCTGCTCATTGACGACGACGACACAATGTATGTGGCATATGGCAATACGAACATACAAGTAGCGCAATTATCGTCCGATGGCCTACAACAGACCAAAACTCAGCAAGTATATGCATCAACGCAGTATATCGAGGGATCCAGAATGTATAAGATCAATGGCACCTACTACATCTTTGTTACTAGGCCAGCAGACGCTGAATTAGTACTGAAGTCCAAGAGTCCCCTCGGACCCTATGAAGAGCGAACACTTGTGTCGCGTATCAACGGTCCATTAGCAAATGCCGGATTTTCTCATCAAGGCGGCGTTGTCGACACCCAGAGCAAGGAATGGTATTATGTTGCCTTTATGGATGCCTATCCGGGAGGCCGCATTCCGGTGGTTGCCCCTTTGACATGGGATACGGACGGCTGGCCAAGTCTTGTCACGAATAGCACCGGCAGTTGGGGTCTAACATATCCGTTGCCGGTACTGACAAGTAAGAAGGTCGCGCCACCAACTGGAACAGACGAGTTTAAAGGAACAAGCCTGAGTCATGAATGGGAGTGGAATCATAATCCGGATAACAGCAAGTGGCGGTTAGCCAATGATAAAGTAGGAGGACTTATCCTTCAGACCGTGAACATAACACAAGATCTCTTTGCAGCACGCAATACATTGACGTATCGTATAATCGGTCCCAAATCTAACGGAACCTTTCACCTTGATGTCAGTAAGATGCGGGACGGCGACCGGGCTGGTGCTGTCTTGTTTCGCGATGTTGCATCGTATATCGGGGTTTGGAAGACAGGTGGCAATGCTCAGATCGTCATGGTCAATAACCTGACATTATCGCAGAGCGATTGGAGCACAATCGCATCAGGCACAGTGGCGGCGACTGGCCCGAGCCTGAAAGGGGACACGACGGACCTATGGCTACGCATTCATGCAGACATAACGCCAGCATTTGGAACAACGCAACAAAGGACCACAACCTTCCTCTACAGCACAGACGGAGTTACTTTCACCAAGCTTGGGCCTGAGTTCCTGATGACCAATGCTTGGCAATACTTCACTGGATACAGATATGGGGTGTTCAATCATGCTACCAAATCTTTAGGCGGTGAGGTGAAGGTTAAGAGCTTCACCATGGCATACGCCTAATGTTGATACATAGCTGAATGGTCAGTTGCATCATAGCGGGTAAGGATGGCTGTATATATATATATATATATATATACGCCAAAGCACCTAACTTTGGCCTTTTGAATATGTAGCCTCTGAGCAAGGTGATGAAACTGTGCTGGACCAATTTGGCGGCAGTATCAGAGAGAGTTGAGTTAAGTCAGTAATTTCAACAATGCCAAGATCTACTGTAAGCTATGGCGGCGCGCTAATGATTCAGAAGACATCCACCTGAAGTGCAAGGGACTTTGTGGGATTATTCCCCAGACTTCACGCGGGGAAGCCTTGAAGAGCTCCTGATAAATGCCACTCTGGATCATGATATCCGTGGGAATCTCGCTGAATTGTAGAAAGCTTTAGATACCCCAGCTGCGAAGACTTCCCTGGACCTTTTAAGCCCATGTGCCACAACGTGAATTGCTCTGGTCAGGATTTGGCCAAGAATGTCTTACAACATGACCTGGTCCATCGTGACTGGATTTGTACTATCATTCTTGACGTCTATATCATCCGCAACTTGTGATGCTGGTCTCTCCATTACAGCTCCTGCATTTTCTGTGCGAGGATCTCTCGCATCAAATGTCACTTCTCCCGTGCGGCAGTTCCTGGGAATTCCGTATGCCGAACCACCAGTTGGCCCAAACAGATTTCTTCCTCCCGTGACAAAACGACCGTATCAAACTACTATCAATGCCACATCTTTTGGCCCGGCATGCATGCAATATAGGACTGGCGCGCCATCTGTATACAACCAATATCTTCCCGGTACCCAAGTATTCGTTCACGCTTCCGAGGATTGCCTGACTCTGAATATCTGGGCCCCGCCGACTTCGACCATTTCCTCAGATTCCCTTCTCCCTGTGATGATTTGGATCCCCGGCGGGGCTTTGCTTTCTGGCGGAGCAGCCGTTCCTTACACTAACGGTGCTCGGCTTGTAGCCGCACAACAGGACATCATCCTAGTGAGCATCAACTACAGGGTGAACATATTTGGCTTTCCTGGAGCAGCAGCCCTGGACGGTCGACATCTCAATCCTGGCCTCCTGGATCAAAGGACAGCGGTAGAATGGATATACAATAATATTGCGTACTTCGGAGGAAACGCTAGCCGTATTACACTGTTTGGCCAAAGTGCTGGGGGTAGCAGCGCGGACATTTTCAGTTATGCGTGGAACTTTGACACTCTTGTATCTGGACTAATTGTTCAATCCGGAGCCATTGGGAATCATCAAATCACGGGCGGAGGCGGCCCGACCAACTTCAGTTATGTGGCAGACCAGGTTGGCTGCGGGGGACTAGGCAAGGATCTCGAGTTGGAGTGTATGCAAAATGCAAATGTTACTGCTATCATGGAAGTTTATAACCACTACAACGCGTCAGTGAATGGTGGTAAGAGTCTCGGGTTTGGCGGTATGGTGGACGAGGAGACCGTTTTCTCAAACTGGACAGAGAGACGGGAGCGCGGCCTGGTTTCCAAAGTGCCAATGCTGATTGGAAGCGACGATAACGATTATGCTGGACTGTTTACTCCCTTTGATGGCTCTGCTCCCAACCAGACAGCAGTTGATCTTTTGACGGATGAAGTCTTCAATTGTCGAGCGGCGATTGCGTCCAAAGCTCGCCACGAGCTTGGCCTGCCCGTGTGGAGATATCGTTATTTTGGCGTTTTCCCGAACCTCAATCCCCTTCCTTGGCTTGGTGCTTATCATGGAGCTGAGAATTCCATCATCTTTGGGACATCAGACCTTTTTGGTGGCCCAGACACAGCCGAGGAACAACAGCTAAGCACATATATGCAAAACGCTTGGGTGAGCTTCGCCAAGGACCCTGAACACGGGCTCATAAGGCTTGGATGGCCAAAGTACGAAGAAAGTCAAACGACTCTGATTGTATTAGGAAAGAACGGCTCTACTGTTGCTGAGTTTGCATTAGGCACCGCTTACGACAGCGGATGCGGTCCTGATGTTGGGTAACAGTCAGCCGGCTGAGATGACACTACGAGGGGCAGGAAGAAATAGACACTTCCAGCCTATGAGATATATATAAGACCACATGCCCTGGATATATTTTGAAGCTCACTAAATCTGTGCTTTGCAGGTCCTAAGACTCGGCATCAACGAAGCTGTTGTCAAGACTGTGGGCCAAGAACGCGTGATGACTTGTTTAGATGATGAAGTTTTCCGCTGCTTACGGATTCCAAATATTAGTACTTTGCCATTAGAAAGCAGAACATGTGTTACAACTTTGCTTTCAGCGCCCTGCTTATACTCTTTCACAT